TATGTGGATGACATAATATTAACTGGAGATAATAAATAAGAGCAGCAATTGTTGAGTCAATGCTTAAGCAAGGAATTTGAGATCAAGACCTTGGAAAAATTAAAATATTTTTTGGGAATTGAAGTTGCCCACAGCAGAAATACATCACTGATTTGCTCAAGGAAACTGGCAAGATAGTTTACAAACCTGCTAGTACCCCATTAGAACCAAACCTAAAGCTTGGAAATGCAGAAGAAGATGTTGTTGTTGAAAAAGATATGTACCAGCGATTAGTAGGCAGACTTATATATTTGTCGCATACCAGGCCAGATATTGCCTATGCAGTGAGTTTAATTAGTCAATTTATGCATAACCCAAAGGAGACCCATTTACAAACAGCCCACAGAATTTTACAATACCTTAAAGGAACTCCAGGAAGAGGGATTCTATTCAAAAGGAATGGTAATGTGAAGCTTGAAGCCTACACTGATGCTGATTATGCAGGGTCAATTGTGGATAGGAGGTCAACTACAGGATATTGCACCTTTCTTGGAGGAAATATTGTGACTTGGAGAAGCAAAAAACAGGGTGTAGTGGCTCGGTCTAGTGGTGAAGTGGAATTTCGAGCCATGTCACAAGGTATATGTGAGTTGCTATGGCTTAAAATCATCTTAGAAGACTTGAGGATAAAATGGGAAGAACCTATGAAGCTCTATTGTAATAATAAGTCAGCAATCAACATAGCTCACAACCTAGTGCAGCATGATAGAACAAAGCATATTGAAGTAGATAGACACTTCATCAAAGAAAAGCTTGATAGTGGCTTGATATGCACTCCATATGTGTCCTCTCAAGACCAAATTGCAGACATTCTTACCAAGGGACTAGGCTGCCACAATTTTGAAAATATTGTATCCAAGCTGGGAATGGAAAACACCTATTCACTAGCTTGAGGGGGAGTGTGAGAAATCAAATAGTATTTTAGGAAAGAATAAATTAGAAAATTTGTAATCTGTATAGATTTGAACAATTAGGAACAATCCCATAAATCAAGGAATCCTAGAATAAAATAGAGTTATTATATTTCCTAAAATAGCTTAGGTCTCCTGTATATATCTTGTATGATCTCTTTATATTAAAATAATAAAATAAGATTTCATTTAATCTAATTTTCCAGAGTAAACTTACCTTTCTATGAGCACTGTGTGACAAGCAAACAACATAAATTGAAGTTTGAGAAGTCAACTACTAGAAGCAAACACATACTTGACTTGATACATTCTGATGTGTGGGAGTCCCTGGAAATGTCCCTAGGAGGAGCTAAATATTTCGTATCATTTATTAATGATTACTCTAAGAGATTGTGGGTATACCCAATCAAGAAGAAGTCAGATGTGTTTTCAGTTTTCAAGGAATTTAAAGCACAAGTGGAGCTTGAAACTGGGAAGAAGATTAAGTGCTTAAGGACAGACAATGGAGGAGAATATACAGATGGTGAGTTTCTGGCATTCTGCAAGCAGGAGGGTATAAGGAGGCAGTTCACGGTTGTCCATACACCTCAGTAGAATGGTGTAGCAGAGCGGATGAATAGAACTCTCCTAGAGAGGACTAGAGCTATGTTGCGAATGGCAAGATTAGTCAAGTCTTTCTGGGCAGAAGCAGTAAAGATAGCTTGTTACGTGATAAATCGATCACCATCAACTGTGATTGGTTTAAAGACACCTATGGAGATGTGGAAAGGAAAGCCAACAGAGTATTCTTCTCTACATGTGTTTGAATGTCTTGTGTATGTGATGTACAACTCCCAAGAAAGAATAAAGCTGGATCCAAAATTCAGAAAATGCATATTCTTGGGCTATGCTGACAGAGTTAAGGGGTATCGCCTATGGGATCTCACTGCCCACAAGGTTATGGTCAGCAGAAACGTAATCTTTGCAGAGAATGAACAGGAAAAAGACAACACTTCTAAATATGTTACTACTGTACAAATAGATGGAAAGTCTGGAAAAGAAGATCCTTTGGAAGCAGAACCAGAGCATGAGGAACAAGAACCAGACGAGGCCAATGATACAGAAGTTCGACAAATAACACGTCAGATAAGGAGACCATCTTGACACTCAGACTATGTAATGGCAAGTCATGATGCATACTGTCTTCTAACAGAAGAGGGAGAACCTTCAACCTTTCAGGAGGCTGTGAGTAGTTCAAATGTTTTTCTGTGGATGACAGCAATGCAGGAAGAAATAGAAGCCTTACACAGAAACAAGACATGGGAGCTTGTTGCACTTCCACAAGGTCGGAAAACCATCGGCAACAAATGGGTTTATAAGATCAAACGTGATGGTAATGATCAAGTGGAACGATATCATGCAAGACTGGTGATCAAAGGGTATGCTCAAAAGGAAGACATTGATTTCAATGAGATATTCTCTCTGGTGCTTAGACTTACCACTATCAGAGTAATGTTGGCTATGTGTGTTGCATTTGACTTACATCTTGAACAATTGGATGTAAAGACTGCTTTTCTTCATGGAGAACTTGAAGAAGAAATTTATATGCTCCAACCAGAAGGCTTTAAAGAACAAGGAAAAGAAAACTTGATTTGTAGGTTGACCAAATCTTTGTGCGGTTTAAAGCAGGTGCCAAGGTGTTGGTACAAGAGATTTGATTCCTTCATTATTAGCCTCAGATACAACAGACTGAGTTCAGACCATTGTACGTATTACAAGAGGTTTAATGATAATAATTTCATCATTTTGCTGTTGTATGTGGATGACATGTTGGTGGTAGGCCCCAACAAAGATCGAGTCCAAGAATTGAAGACACAGTTGGCTAGGAAATTTGATATGAAGGACTTGGGACTCGCAAACAAGATTTTAGGGATGCAAATTCACCGAGACAAAAAGGATATGAAGATTTGGCTTTCTCAAAAGAATTATCTTAAGAAAGTCTTGCGGCGCTTCAACATACAAGATTGTAAGTCATTCTCTACCCCACTGCCTATCAATTATAAATTATCCTCGGATATGTGTCCTAGGAGTGAAGCAGAGAGGATGAAAATGTCTCGAGTGCCGTATGTATCGACGGTGGGAAGTCTTATGTATGCTATGATTTATACGAGACCAAATATTGCACAAGCAGTTGGGACGGTCAATCGATTTATGGCAAATCCTGGTAAAGAGCACTGGAATGTTGTAAAGAGGATCCTAAGATACATTAAAGGAACCTCAGATGTTGCATTATGTTTTGGAGGATCAGAGTTTATTGTCAGAGTATATGTTGATTCAGATTTTACTGGTAATCTTGATAAAAGAAAATCTACTACAGGATATGTGTTCACACTTGCAAGTGGAGCGGTAAGTTGGTTATCTAAACTGCAGACTGTAGTAGCTTTATCTATTACAGAGGGAGAGTACATGACAGCTACCCAGGCATGCAAGGAAGTAATTTGGATTCAAGGGTTATTGGGAGAACTCGGACACAAGCAACAGAAGATCACTGTGTATTGTGACAGTCAGAGTGCCTTGCATATTGCAAGAAACCCAGCTTTTCATTCCAGAACAAAGCACATAGGAGTACAATATCATTTTGTCAGAGAAGTAGTAGAGGAAGGGAGTGTGGATATGCAGAAGATTCATACCAAAGATAACCTAGCAGATGCTATGACAAAGCCGATAAATGCTGACAAGTTTATACGAAGTCGATTCCGTTATGGCCTATCGGAAGTATAAACAACATGGATGGAAAAAAATATCAGAAGATTTGATTAATTTCATCAAAATCTTCAAGTGGGAGATTGTAAGAGGGGGAAAAGTCCCACATAGAATAGAACATGTTTAGGAACTTGTTTTTTATACAAAAAAAGAAAACCAATGTTTCCTTAAGAGTCATCCCAAAATTTTTCCTTTCTTTCTCTAGTATTATTTGTATTTCCTAGCAAAGGTTGTCATTATTTTCTTGGGACTAGATAAAAGATATGTAATTTTTCCTCCTATTATAAAATTTCCATTTTTACCTATTGTTGCTATTCATTTTTTCTTTTCTCTACTTTAGTTGAGTTCTTGTGCAAGTAGTCTGATAACAACAGAAGATACCGCATGGAAAAATAAGAAAAACAGCCAACATTAAAGAAATCAGATACTCTAAAAAGCACAATAAGGGATCTGTGCAAATTCAAACACTAGCCAGTATATCGTGTGATTTTCCCAGCAGCATTACAGAAATATCTTTCACTATCTTGATTTGAAAAGTCTTTCGGTCACTAGAGCTTAGCAAGCAGAACATAAATTGTAAAGAAAATGGAACAGAATCAATCCCTTTAGACCCAGATCCCAAGAGACACACTATCAAAACCCTGTTCTCAGATTCTGCTGTTATAGACATCTAGGCCAGGCCATCTTAAGCTGGTAGCAACCTGGTTTGTCAGCCTGGTAGATTCTTTGGAGCGAAACGAAGAAGCAATTAAGGAGTAAAATTTAAATTTCCTCTTACTTAAGAAACCTTTGGTTATTTTTAGGAAAACTGCCTTTATATGTTAAACCTTCTTAGAAAAATATTATCATGTTCACATTTTTTATTTACTTTTTGGTATAGTTAGGATTTCATATTTTGGGAATATTTGATTGCATGGCCATTTTTATCAAGGATTTTGTATTTAATTTGGATTTATCAAGGATTTTAATTGTAAATACCCTTTAGGTGCCTTGTTCAAAGCATTTTAGCAATCATAAAGAGTAGAAGGTTAATCTTAGAGTAACTTTTACTTTCCATCTCTACCTTTCATTTTCTAACAAATAATTTGTCTATAACTATCAGAGTACAAAAAATGGAAGTTATAAAGATTATTTCTTTTAAAAGTACTCTTGGAATAACTTGATCCATCATCATTAATATTAAAAATTTCCTTTTCCTTGAGAGCTTTGAAACCCTAGTTAGAGGAGCACTCTAGGATTATGATTTTACACCAATCTCATCAACAGGCTTAGAAGTTAGAACTCTATTTAGCTTTTCTATCCCAGTACCTTTCTTTTCCCCTCGTTTTTCTGGTATAAAATTATTTATATTCACAATATAGAAAAGGGATATACACATAAATCAATAGTTTAAATTTGAATTAATTGTTCCTAACCTGTAATATAGCAGGACTCTGTTCTTCCTCTGCAGCCGAAACAACAGCCTCAACTCCTTCCAAATTGTAGACATTAAATGCTCCAACAGCATAACCACCCTTTTCTGCATTCTATGTGCCAAAAAAGAAAAGTATTAAAAGAGAATTAGTTGCAATTTGCAAAGCCATGAACCAGATTATCCTTACATTAAGAATTTCTTTTGTTGATGTAAATCTGATTGGGTGAGTCCAGGACTTCACAACTTCTGCCAATGCTGTGCTGTTACCAACATTACCTACCAGAAGCAAACTATCTTTGATAAGATGACATATATCAAAGAATAGAGGAAATATAGATTTTACAGCACCAGATACTAAGATTTGGTTAGAAACTGTAATCAAGAAAAAGGGAAAAAATGAAAATTACAATATTTTTACCAGGGAAGACAATATAAGGAATTCCAGGATGTCTACTTTCAGGGCCTAATTGCCACAAGGGAATACCAGCAAGTGCTTGTCCAACTATCTTCGCACATCTTGCACCAAGGGCTTTTGTAGCGAGGTCTGAAGACGTAATACCACCCTAGAAAAGGTACTACATTAATATATGATTAAAAACGTGGGGCACATTCAACAAGGAAGAATATGCGGCCGAGTTATATAGCCTCGAATTTTGATAATATCATTAAATATCAAACGTTCACGAATGTTTTTTATTTAACTTGTTAAATAGTGAAGATAAAATGCAATGATTTTTCTTTTTCAAAGATTACCTCATAAAATCTCTAGTAGCAAATTAAACAGCAAAACTGTTTTGAATATATCTTGCTTTCTTGAGTATGAAGCCCAAGTGTCAACTTGCACTCTGTGCCTCTAAAATGTTGTAAAACTTATTCCTTAATAATACATTTATCATGTCAATCAACTTCATGATAAAGGATAGCGAACAACATGATCTTGATACAAAGTGTGCTTGGATGAATATATGCAATATTGACCCGATATAAAATACTGATTATTTAAAAAAGAAAAAATGTAAGGACAATAGGACAAAGGAAATATCAATATTCCGTATCAAAATGAACGTTCACTGGGTCCTTTAAACCCGGGGTACCTTTGCAATTATATAGCGAGGTTTTGTAGTTACTCTTTTCACTATTTCCACCAAAGCGGAACTCACTTTAAAGTTAATGTCCAAACTTTCAGCCGCAGCTGCACATTTGAAAAAAAAAAAAAAACAATATTAGATTGAGGGACAAATTATTTGCCCATTTAATGCACTATACTTTGCTTTGAATGGTAAAAAGAAAACAGCAGTAATCTCAGAGTTGGATCTTCAATGCAAAAACAGTTCCCCTTGTTACAACACTAAGCAATAGATGGAAAGAAGAAAAAACAAGCAAAATGAGAAAGACAAACTTCTTCCAGTTATGAGATTTCGGCTGGTCATTATTAGAGTGTCTTTATGAGCTTTGAGATATACATCTGCTAATTCAGCCGTTCTACTGATTTCCTCCTCCCTCTCCTCAATAGGACTCATTGCAAGTTTTTCAACTGATACCTATTACAAAGAAACCGTTGTTATTAGACCAGCAAATGAAATTTGAAAAAAAAAATGCTTAAGGCATAAAAATGAATGTTTTTGATAAACAAAATTTCTGTCATTCTCTCCATGAGAGAATTATCAATGAAAAATGAGGTATAGAAACTTGGAATGTTAATCACCTCAATGCTTTTTAAGAACTGGCCACACTGTAGTTTTAATTCTTCCACCTGTAGATTACAACTATAAGCATAAGCATAAATGAGAAATTGGGTATGCTTGAGAGATTAGATTTGGATCATAATTTCATTTATCACCTGCTTTGTTGTTTTAGGAACGTAGGATCCCACAACTATCAAACCACCATTCCTTTCTCCAGCTATTCCTAGATCACTTGGCAAAATTGGAGGCTTAGAGATGATTCCCATAAGGGCAGAGACAAAACTAGCTGCAGTTCGACACAAGAAACGTCTTCCCGTCAATTCTGCCTGTATATAAGACAAAACAGTCCAAGAACATCTGCATCAGTAACAAAACAAGTAAAATGAGACAAAAAAGCATGAAAGAGAAGGAAGTTTTGCCTTGATCATTCCAAGTGCAAATACAGTCATGTCTCTTTCACTAGCTGCATTAACTATGCATATTGTTCCCTGCTTAATAGAATAGACAGTCATAGTAAGTGGATTGAATACACTTTCGTATTTGTAATTCCTTACCAGAGAAAGTAAGCCACATGTTCTCTGCGAACTTAAAAATGTACAACTATGATGCATTAACTATATCTCTTGTTTTGTATACCTTCTGCAAACTGCATAGATGCTGACAAACTGCATTTGGACCACCTTTCCTTAAAAGTTGGATAGAAACAGATGCAACACTACTTGCAAGTATTCGGCCATTTGTCTTCTCCTCTAACCACTATAATTGGATAAAAGCATCTCAAAATTTAAAATTTATCCAAAATTATGAAAATATAAATTACATTGATAGAGTCAAAGGTTTACATCACGCAGGTTTGAAGATTTGTAGCCAAAGGAAGCATCTTTGGCAAACTCTGTGTCCCCTGCAGGAACAAGCCTGCAGACAAAAAGTTAAATACACAGAAATCTAATTTGTATCCATTCATAATTCGTTATAGATAGATCATGAATGGCAAGACTTACGTATCAGAATCATCAACATAGTGTGTGTCTTCAATAGTGTAACGACCTCCTTGAAGGAAAAAGGGACAGATTATCCATGCATCCATTTCACCTAACACTGAAACAACAGCATCTGCTTCCTGTACACAACAACTAGTGTCATTTAGAAAATTGAAGAGTGTCGATATTACTGGTTAAAATATACTTATTGAACTAAAATACAATATCCTTGCCTGAGGAAAATGACCACGTAAAGTTGAATCTCCTCTCAAAACTACGGAATAGTCAATGTTATCAACTGATTTCGCTGCAGTGTTCAGATTTCTGCAAATCTCTTTTATCAGTGCACTGGCCTGTTACAGATTAATCGTAAACTTATAAACTTGATATAGATGCTTATTGAAATATCCAGTGGCTTGAACTCTGGTTGGAATGTCCATGCTTCAGATTGTTTTAATTTATGGTATGGCGCTTATAATTGAAGTGTTGCATCTATGTTAGCTTTCAAAACTTTATTCAGCTCAAATATTTCATTTCAGTAATGAAGACACTTTTTCTTTGCACTTCACTAACAAGCTTTTTCCACTTGCAGGGCAACAATAGGGCAAGTTGTGAAGCTATGCGATTTAATTGTGGTGGCCAAATACAAATAGTATCATTAAAGCAAGTAACTAAATTTAATTGTGGTGGTCAAACACAAAGAATATCATTAAATAATTAATTTTAAAATACTAACTTTTCTTTAAAAGTATTACATATAAAATAAAGAGAATTTGAGCGCCTCTCCCACCTTATTTATCTCCCGTACACTAGTGGCCTATTTTACCTTTGAATAAAGTTATTCAAAATTTCACCCATGCTTATGAGTGGAATTCTTACCGAAGAGAGATAAAAAGAGAAGTCTTTTTTTTCCAGTTTACCTTGTCAGAACTCAGTGACCTGGAGTTTGTCAAAATGAAAAAGCATTTTGGACTTTTTCTAAACTGCTCAATCAGTGATTCAATGGTCCTGCAGAGAAACATGTTCAATTGAGTAATAACTTGCTATTTTATTCAGGAAGGTCTTGCTTTCAATCCCAATCTCATGATGAAAAATGACTATTAATTGAACAAATGACTGAAAATAGCACTAATTGAAAGAAAAACCAATGCTGTGGTAGTTTGGTTTGAGGTAGCAGTGCATGAATATCTTTCGCATTGATTCTGCCAAGAAATTAGAAATAACAAGAAAATCATTTAAACTTACCATTCTGTTAATACCTCAATATCATGAACAGTTTGTGTTCCTGTCGGATCATCATCCAAAACAACTAAAACCTTTGAATTGTTTTCTTTTAGTGTTTGTATATCAAGAACATGATCTTGGGGCCACTCTGGTGGAAGAGAATGTAACACGACATCTTTCCTTTGAGCCTGGAGTTTTCCTTCAACTCTTACACCAGTAAGCATCTCATAAACCTGTACAAAAGTTGGTACAGTCTCCCAAGTTATTCCAGTCATTGTTGTGTTTGTCATATATTAAACAATACAGATCACATGTAAACAGGAATTAATGTTTTGTTCAAATCTTTTATTTTCTTCAAAAATTATCTTGGAATTTCAGACTTTTAATGTTTGGAGCAGGAACACAATTATAACTGATGACACTGTTGATGATTAGTTGAAGAGGGTTAAAAAACCAAAGAAGGGGGGAAATAAGGTGTCAACAAATGGACAAACTACAATAGAATATCATGGTATCCTTCAACCGCCAATTTGTGTAAGGCATTTGTTAAATATAGTGAAAACTAGGTATAGGGTTAACTCCTTTGTGTCTAAAATACACATAGGATAATATATTTATAATTAAGAGTCATACAAGTAAATATGGTAAATACATATATTATGACTAATAATATCTAAAACACTCTCCCTCAAACTGATGCATATAAATCATATGTATCAAGCTTCTTACAAATATAATCAATTTTACATCTCTTTAAAGACTTGGAGAAAATATCTATTAACTGTTCACTTAAGTTAACAAACTTCGTCTTAATGTCTTCAGATACAATCTTTTCTCGAATAAAATGACAGTCAACTTCAATGTGTTTGGTCATTTCATAAAAGACAGGATTAGAACTAATATGAAAAGCAGCTTGATTGTCACATATAAGTGTCATTGGAGTGACATCTCCAAATTGCAAATATTTAAGTAATTGTTTAAGCCAAACAAGTTCATAAGTAGCTGAGGTCATAGCCCTATATTCTTCTTTTGCACTAGATCTTGCCACAACACTTTGTTTCTTACTCTTCCAAGAGATCAAGTTATCTCCAATAAAAACACAGTATCCAGAAGTAGATATTCTATCAGAAGAAGATCCTGCCCAATCAGCATCTGAATAACAGACAACTTTAGCCTGGTTATTGTGATCATATAGCAACCTTTTTCCAAGAGATCCTTTAATGTACTTTAATATACAGATGACTGCATTCCAATGATCTCTACATGAGGAATTAAGAAATTGACTCACCACACTAACCGCAAAGGAAATGTCAGGACGAGTAATAGTAAGATAGTTTAATTTTCCAACTAATCTTTTGTACTTCTCAGATCTGAGAGAGGCTCCCCCTGATTAGGTAGGAGTTTGGTATTGAGATTCATGGGTGTGTCAACAAATTTTGAGTTTATCAACCCAATTTCTTCTAAAATATCCAATACATACTTTCTCTAAGATATAACAATACCATTATTAGATTGTGCTACCTTAATCCCAAAGAAATATTTAAGTTTGTCAAGATCTTTGGTCTGAAAGTGATGACAAAAGTGTTGCTTCATCTGGGAGATGTCATGGTGATCACTCCCTGTAAGAACAATATTATCAACATATACTATTAAATAGATACACCCAACACTTGAGTGATGGAAAAATACTGAATGACCTGCTCCACTGCGAGTCATACCAAATTGTTGAACAACACTGTTAAATTTTCCAAATCAGACCCTAGAAGACTGATTTAGGCCATATAAAGATTTGTGAAGACGACATACCAATCCAGACGACTCCCCCTAAACAATAAAGCCAGGAGGTTGCTCCATATAGATTTCTTCCTGCAAATCTTCATTAAGAAAATCCTTTTTGACATCCAGTTGGAAAGAAGTCGTTGTTGAAGAGTAGCCATGACTATGAATAAGTGAACAGAAGCCATTTTTTTCACTGGAGAAAAGGTGTCACCATAGTCCAAACCCAAAATTTGTGTATAACCTTGGCCACAAGACGAACTTTGAGACAGTCAATAGTACCATCAAAATCAACTTTGATAGCAAAAATCCACCTGCAATCAACAACAAATTTCCTAGACGGTAATAGGACGAGGTCCCAAGTTCCACTATCCTGAAGAGCACTCATTTCATCAAACATGGCCTGACTACAACCAGGATGGGCTAAGGCATCATCACCTATGGATTTGAGAATTGACACAAAAGAAATGGACGAAAGACAGATATAAAAAGGTGGAGATAATCTATGGTAACTCAAAGCAGTATAATAAGAAAAGGGATTACGAGTAGAACGTATACCTTTACAGAGGATAATTGGAAAGTCAAACTCAGTTGTCGAAGTAGGAGGAGACAAAAGAGTTGGCACTAGAATTGAGTCATTTGGTGGTTGTTGGGATCGTTGTCTTCGACTATAAACCTAAAGTGGTAGTGGCGGAGGAGAATCCAAAGGTGGGCTAACAGGAGAATCACACACAACAGGAATATTAAAAGTAGCAGACGGCGACACACACGGAGAAGGACACTTAAAGTAAAAGGAAGACTCATTAAAGATGACATCTTTAAAAATAAAATAACGGTTAAGACAATGAAAGAAACACTTATATCCTTTTTATGATTGAGTAAATCCTAAAAAAAACACATTTTTGTGATTTATGAGAAAACTTATCAAGACCAGGACTAAAATTATGAACAAAACATGTAGAACCAAAAACTTTAAGAGGTAAGGGATGTAGAGGTTCATGAGGAAATAAAAGAGAATGAGAAAATTTGTTATTTAGAAACGAAGATGGCATGCGATTGATAAGATAACATGCAGTAAGAACAACATCACCCAAAAAATGTTTAGGAACCTTCCCATGAATTAAAAGAGTGCAATTTGTTTCAACAAAATGTTTATTCTTGCGTTCAGCCACCCCATTTTGTTGAGGTGTATAAGCACATGAAATTTGATGAAGAATGTCATGAGAAGCCATAAAATGTTTAAAAGAATGAGAAATGTATTCACGGTCATTATCACTTCGCAAAGTTCAAATAGAAATCCCAAATTGAGTTTTAATTTCATTAAAAAAGGATTGGAATATAGAAAACAACTCAAAACGATTTTTCATTAAAAACAAGCAAGTACTTCTAGAATAATCATCAATAAAGGTAACAAAATACTAAAAACTTAAATTAGACTTAACACGACTGAGTTCCCAAATGTCAAAGTGAACTAATTCAGAAGGGGACGAAGCACGTTGTGAGACACTATGAGAAAATGAACTATAACTATGTTTCCCTAATTGACATAACTCACATAATAAACTAGATAAATTGGACAAACTGGGAACAAGTTGTTTCAGTTTGGCAAGACTGGGGTGACCTAACTAAGCATAAAGGAGAGATAGAAAATGACTGTGCCAACATGTGTAGAAGGACGGAGATGATAAAGACCATGAGACTTACATCCGATGCCAATTATCTGTCTCGAACTCTGGTCCTATAAACAAACAGAATCTTTGGTAAAAGAAATAACACAATCAAGAGAACAGGTTAGACGATTAATGGATAATAAGTTAAAGGGAGACCCAGGGACATAAAGAACATTATCAATGGATAAAGATGGAAAAAGTTTAACAGTACCAACACCAGGAGGCAAAACCCTAGACCTATTAGCCATTATAATCAGAGGTAAATTATCCGGAGAAGATAAAGAAGAAAACAAAGATTTGTTCCTAGTAATATGATATGTGACACTTGAGTCAAGAACCCACGGTCCAAGAGAAGGAGATTGAGTTAGGTAACAAAAGATGTATCTGTGAGTGCAATAGAAATAGTGGAACTAGAGTTCTGATGATCCTCATATCATTTGAAAAATTTATTATAAATAGCAGATTTGTCTGCGGTATAAGATGACGTAGGATCCACAATAAATAATTGTGAGGCAGAGGATGAAGCCATGAAGGAAGAGAGAGAAAAACCCTAAAAACTTTAAATAGCCGGTGGAGATTCTGATCACAGCGATCTCAATGACGCAGTGGTCGCCTAGTCGAGATAAGCAGAACGGTGTGGTTGTTGGTCCGAATTGTGACTTTGGCGACAATGGTGTCTCCGGCGACGGTGGCGGCTTTGACGACAGTGGAGGCTCCGACCGCGATGACAGGTTCGGGAACGAAGGTGGAAAAAAAAAAAAAAACTAAGCTCTAGATATCATATTGAATATATTGAAAAACTAGATATAAGATTAATTCCCTTGTGTCTAAAATACACATAGGATAATAAATTTATAATTAAGAGTCATACAAATAAATATGATAAATACATATATTGTGACTAATAATATATAAAATATTTCGTTATTTCTAAGATTGTGAACCCAAAGAAGAGTCCATCTTTATGTGTTGCCAAGGAAGCATAGTCAGATAAATTATTGAAGTTGTTTAACATCTATTATGTTATCCAAAAATGTTTTTCTAAAACCACCGGATATACATCACGGAAAAAAGTATAAATGGAGTTTTTTTATATCAGAAATAAGTATAATATGAAACTCTTATGAAATGAAATTAGTTATTCATTACCTTGACCACACCTGCATCATCAATCCGTCCCCAGCCTGCAGCAGAACCTGTACAGTAATATTACAAGTTTGAGCAAGCAATTCTCCCAACAGTTTCCTGAAAGTCCTTTTTCATATTTTTATTATCTATCATTTTGCGAAAATTATACGGCTAACTTCTGTCATTAAATTGTTTTCTATTTTATGGTAGCATAACAACATGAGCATTTGAACTATAGATATCTTGCAAACAACTCTAATTAATTACTAGTATCCCACTCCTTGTGACTTAATATTTACAAATTGGAAAAGATGTATACTTTGAAACATTGAGATGCATCATATGCAGAAACTCCACCAGTTGTCTAACAATTTATGATACTATGATCTCAATTTAAGTAAAAAGATGCTCATTTCAAAATAAGATCATGAACAATAGATTCTACATGCACCATCCTTTGTCCATCAAATGGTCAAGTTCGAGTATCTTACTTTTGAATTGAAGAGAAACATGAAAAATAGTAATGGCCAAGTTGAATTGAAGAGAAACATAAGACTGTATAGATCATTAAGATTCAAAGTAATATATACAGCACCTGCCAGATATAGTTGGTGAGCAATAGTTGATAGCTGAAGTGGAACTTTCCACGTAGATGATTCACGAGTAACAATTCCCTGTACATGAAAAATAGATGTTACAAAAATTACTAAAATAATATAATGTTATTTAAATCGAGTGTTCTTCAATGTCCCTGCTGAATATCAGAAGAAATAAACTATTTCTTACCAAGTCCTTCACAAAGATATCAAGTGCTGAACAAGGTGTGTAATCGTTGTCTATCATGTGTTGGCCACGATTCTCAAACATCCTGAAACAAAAGGCATCTTAAGGTTGGCAGTTACATATTCTATTCAAATCTATGAAAGAAGAATGTAATAGAAGAAGGAAAGAAGAGAAAATACAACTACAAGAGGATAAGAAATCCCCCAAGAAAATACAATCATCACATAATTATAGCCATAAACAAATCACTGGAAAGAAGCCATAAATACAATCATAACATAAAAAAAGGGATTACAAACGTCACAAGTTGATAAAGAAAATATCAAAAAGAAAAGTATTGCATACTTTTTGAGAGGACAGCATGATCATTTCATAGAAGATACATACCAGGAAGTTCCCCCGCTAGTTGTAATAAAATCAAACAACAGTCTTGTATTCAAACCCAACCGAGCTGCAAATGCTATTGCCTCAGCAGCCGAGGCAATCTGAACTCCAGCAAGCAATTGGTTAATCATCTTTATGCCACTACATAACAATTTGAACTGATGTTATTGTACGTTTTTTTTAATTGCTGATACTATGTTCACTCAATTTCAGTCTCTTTCAGCCAGAATTAACATTGCATTACCTGTTTCATGCAAAAAGAGAAGAGTATCAGTATTAATCAAAAGAAAACAGTGAATAAACAATGATTGGTAAATTAATAAAATACCTTCCAGAACCACAACCACCTTTGATAATATAAAGCTTCTCACTCAAGGCTGATTTCAAAGAATTAACATGAATTAAATAGGAAGTTATTTTTAAAATTACTGTAAATCCAGAATTAGAATTAACATTTTTCACGTCTATTATTAGTTCTTAATACCTGCTAAGACTTGACCAGCACTCTTAAGGGCGTCATCAGTTCCTGAAGCCATTATCTGAGTATTATTCATTACATCAGTGTCTTGGTCCACAAAATCCAAAATGAAGTTTCAATAAAAGCCAGAGATGTATATCACACCGTAAGTGTTCCCAATGAGGCCCTCTGAACACCACCAGAAACCGGGGCATCCACCAACTTCAAATTCTTACCTTCATCTGCATTATTATCATGTCAATGGTTACTAATAGAGTAATTGAATAAAACCTCTGTTTTTGTAAAACTGAATGACATATGACGCATTAGCGAAGTGGTTTTTAATGTTACATATGGTTGACTGAAGTCCCACATCAGCAAAGTGGCTATTTCTGTGAGTTTAGTCCCACAATAGTACAAGCTTCATGATTGTATTATATAAATTGTATCTCTCTCTTTGAGAAATTAGAAAAGCAATAAAAGAATGAGTGCTGTTCAGGTTTACGTTTTCTTTGTTTTTCTGATCTAAGTATCCTTTTAGGTATCCAAGAACTTCTTGAAGTTCTTCAAAGCTCTCCATCCAACACAAGCCATTGACGTTTCTGTCGCCATCCCCTGTGTTCATGGCTTTCGATCCAATACAAGCCTCGTTTTTGGGGCAATACTCGTGGGAACTACAAGATCAATTCCTTCTTGCTTGGTTACACTCCTCGTTATCTGCTTTAATTCTACTAAAGGTTATTGGATGTTGATACTCTTGGCAGCTTTGGGAGAAAATTAATCATCATTTTCATTCAAGACTAAGGTACAAGCTCGTTTTCTTCGAGAGATCAGGAACGCAAAGAAAGGTGACCGCTCCATTTTGCAACTTCTTAATTTAACGAAATGGATCTCAGACTCTCATCTCTATTGGCGAAACTATTTCTCTTGAATAGAAAGTTGATGCTCTTCTTGATTCATTACCTCCTGATAATGAATCATTGGTAAGTCACCCTAGTTTCTAGCAAAACATAATGGTTAATCTTTGTTATTAGCAATAGAAACTAGTATAACTGTTTCTACCTTGACTCCTACTCAAGCTATATCTGTCGAATCTGTTCCTATCACTACGTGAATTCATGTTCTCAACCATCAGCTGAAAACTTTGATACTGGCTGTGGTAATTGTGGTGGTAATCGTTGTAATTTTGCTGGTTTTGGCCGTGGAGGTCGATGTGGACATGATTGTGGAACCTCCAATATTCAATGTCAAGTTTATTACAAGTTGGGGCATGAGGCTTCCTATTGCTATAACAGGTTTAATCCAAATTATATACATCCACAGCACATCGACCTGCTACAACAGGTTTCACACAATATCTAAATACCTTGGGTGTGCAACATAGATTGATATGCCCTAATACTCATCATCAAAATGGAGTAATTGAAAGAAAGCATAGATAGATTGTGGAAGTGAGATTGACGCTATTATCTTAAGCACCTCTTCCTATGCATTTTTGTGATCAATCTTATCAACAGAATTCGATCAAGTTATCATAACTTTGCCATACCCTATCAAGTTCTTACAAAAAGGATCCAGATTTTGGTTTTTTAAAGGTTTTTGGTTGTGCCTACTACCCATTTTTAAGACCCTACAATCCTCAGAAATTGCAGCTTAGAACATTTGAGTGTGTTTTCTTGGGTTATTCTCCCTCTCACGACGGTTACAAGTGTTTATCTAAAACTGGCAGAATGTTTATCTCTTAAGATGTATTGTTTTGTGAACAAAAATTTCCCTATTAAACTCCAATAGACCCAAATCCTTCACGAGAATCACCCACCTTCACTCCTCCCATTGGTATTATACCTACTCAACCATCTTCAACTTAGGAAACTGTACCTACTGCACCTAATCATTTTCCTCCAATTACCTCCCCATTATCTATTCCTAATAAAATCCCATCCTCATAAATTCAAATTAACCATGATGTGTTATCTACTGATATTTTCTCTATCTCATCCATTCAATCACCACAAATTAACTCACCTCCACTCACTAGACCAGTCAATATTCATCCCATGCAGACCAGAGCTAAGTCAGGCATAGAAAAACCTCGTCTTCAGCCACTTTGCTTCTCACTACTGCAGAACCTTCTTCTGTAAAGCAGGCTCTTTCATCATCACATTGGAGAAGTGCTATGCAATCTGAATTTGAAACTTTAACAATCATACATGGTCACTTGTCAAGTTACTCCTAATAGATCTGTTGTTACTTGTAAATGGCTACTTAGAGTCAACGAAAATCCCGATGGCTTTATTAACAAATACAATGCCAGACTTATGGCAAAAGGTTTTCACTAGAAGTTTGGCTGTGATTATTTACATTCGAATCATATTAACCCTATCCATTACCTACAAGTGGTCAATCAAACAAATTTTGATATCAACAATGCATTCTTGAACGGTTTATTAGAAGATGTTTATATGTCTCATCCTCCTGGTTTTAGAAATTCTGACAAGTCACTTGTTTGTAAACTACAGAAAGCCATTTATGATGGACTGAAACAGGCTCCTACTTATAAAGCCTGGTATGATCGTCTTACTAAAACATTAGTTGGTTTCGGGTTTGTTCATAGCAAGTGAGATCCTTCCCCATTCATCTACAAGGAGGCCACTGTTTGTGTTTTTATAATATGTTCATAATACTGTAATCACCAGCATTCTGATTCCCTTATTCAAGATTTTATCTGCAGACCGAAGAATGCTATTTTTGCTCTTAAACAATTGGGAGATTAAGACTACTTTCTTGGTATAGAAGTCAAGCATACTTCTTCAGGAGCTATATTGTCTTGAGTCAAGCTAAGTATATAAAGCAATAGCAGAATTAGTATCTTTCAGTTCACATTTTATTTGATTTTCTTCAGATCTAAATTGTCTTTAGTTACAAACCCTGCAAAAATATTCCTTAATATGTTACACATATAAAATTTATGCCACTAGTCATTAATATGTTACAAATATTAAATTTATGCCATGCGCAAGCTTGATTAGAGGAAACACACTTACCAATTTCATCAATAACAACCATAATCCTAAAATAGAAAAGATTCTCATTTAAACTAATTTTCTATCATTATCATGAATTTTATCTTTTGAACATCTTTAAAACATAAAATGCTGATGGCAAGAAACTCTTACCCAAATTATAACCTAGGCAAGTTTTCCTTAAATTAATTATTTATGAAATTTTTAAGTGGGATAATCAACTTTGTGATCTATATTTCCTTATATTTTTATGGCATGTGATTCATTTGTTAAAAATTAAGCCACATTACAAAAGGGACAAAAGCTTATTTACTGCATTATAGGTTAGTAGGTTTTGTTGTGCAATTAAATTTGGAATTTCTCCTTAGTAATATATATTCTCAAGTAAACCTCTAAATTTAGTTGGAGAACAGCACCCTGTAATATTTACAGTATGTAAGCTTTTGTCCTTACAAACATAGCAAATTGACAAGACCAAAACACAAAAAAGAAATGAGAAAAAGAAATTCAGATACTAAATACAGATTAGATAACCATATCACTGGTTGAGTAACATACTATGCAATCTGCGCTCTAGCTGACTCACATATGCAGGGGAAACAGTGGAAGAGAGAATAATTGATGCTCCTGATGGAAGAACTACATGATGTAGAAAAAATAAATCAGTAAGGTTAAAATGACGCATTATGGACAGTAAAGATATTATATGCACCTGAAACTGCTCCATTTTCTCCATACAAAACATTTTCTGCTTGAGCTTCATTAGTGACCATAATTATGAGAACATCAGCATCTGGAAGCAATTATAAGTGAATTATTTCCTCACATAGGAATTCGGAAAATTATCTTATAGTATATAAAGAAAAATAATTATTACACTAAAATGTATCGTTCAGTCTTTTAAGAGATTACAACATTATGTAGTTCTAATATCTAAAGTTTTATTTTATCATTATAAGGAATGCTAGACTAATCATGTTCTAACTATCATGTACAGCATTGAAGACAATAGGATATCGATGCTAACTTGCATATGAAAAACTTAAAGTCATCAATTACGAAATTTAACAAGGTATAATGATTTAATAATAGTGTGCATTTAAAGAGTAGAAAATTCATAGAAAATGTATACCATAACTTCATTTACAAGATGTACTATTAGGAAAATGTTAACATCCTAATCAACTAAGGATGACAAATGTAATCTTTGTAAGGCTTGAGCAGTTCTCATTTTTTATACATAAGTTTTGTAAGATTGAATAAAGCTTAAATCCAAATAAACTATGGTATTTATACCTAGGAGAGAAAGAATGTATTAACAGACAATTTCATTATTTACTTTTGGGTTTGAGAGGTTATTGAATAGAGATACTCTGTCCATATGGTCCTTATAAGGTTCTCATCTTACAAATAATTTGTAAAGTTGAGTTTATCCTAAGCCCAAATTATTAAGACAAAACAATTTCTAATGTCATAATCAATATATCAGGCTTTTCATTTTTTACACCAGGTAATACAAAAGTATTATTTTATTTATTGGTACGTAGTATATATCAATTTACCTTTGCTCACTTCAGCAGGAGAATTTCCTATTAGGCCACCAGCATTTGTAAATCGAGTTAGAGTTGGTTTAAACACCTAGAAACATAAAAGTGAAAAGATGCTTATGGTGATCATGTAACTTTCTTCCATGACATTAAAGTAATAGTTCGATCTTTGCATAAATATACAAAGACTCACATTCTAGACCATACAAACATAAAACTCATTCTCCTTGTAAATGCATACAAGAATTGATACAAAAAAGTAAAGAGACAAAGTAGATGCAGATATATATAAACCTAATCACATGATGTAATCTATCATTTTAATTTTCAAAAGAATAAGTTGAGAGCCTCTTCAGCAAAACAATCAGCACTAGCTTTTTTTTTTTTAATGATTAAAACCAAAAAACAGTAGTTATTATTTTCCTTAAATCCCTAACAAAAGTTTACACCGGTAATGTCAACTTCAAACATTCATAAAATGTTGCAAGGGCTTTTTTAGAGTAAGTTGGACCTCACACTTATTTTTAATTTTTTATATTTAAAATTTAAGTATAAGTTAAAATTTTATATTAGGTAAAATGAGAAAGTTAAATAATATATAAACGAAAGAGATGTACAAAAATATTTTAACGTTTTGATTAAATATAATATTATATTCTCTTGTACTATTGAGAATATCATTTATAAATATCTTTTTATTGCTTCTTTTTCTTGTATGTGTGGCCAGTGATATCATTTATGAAATATCTCTTTGCTGTTTTCTTGACAAATATCCAATAGGATAGAGCACAAAAATCTAAACCAACTCACAATTAAGACCCTAACATCAATTTTCCAGACAAATTTGTTTTTGGTTAAATGCATTATAGCTTAGGATTTTAGAGGGAGAAATTACATCATAACCAACAACGCAGAATTTTGAACTCAGTAAATGAGTTGCCATGCCAAATCCCATAGCTCCAAGGCCGATAAAACCAATCCTTCTCACACTCTTAGAATCAGTAGTAAATTCAGATGCCAGTTCCTCTGGGTTATAGGCATGAGCATTTGCAGCATCTGAAATTTTAACCCCATAAACCTTTTCCCAAACCTGTCATGAAGATGAAGAAAAAATCCTTAACATTAGAAGTGCTCATAGTCGTATCAGATACACAACGCATCCGTGCATCATAGATGTTAAGAGAAAAACACTACAGCTTCTGAAAAAATAACTTCTGATTGAAACTGCTCAAACAGATGTTCATCAATTAACCTTAGTTATTACTGTAACATCATCTCCACTATCGGCAAGCGAAAGCCCTGACAAAAAGTTTTCCAAACTAGGTAAGCTGGAAATGAGCTCTGAATTTTTAGAACGGATGTATAGTTTGCCAATTTTGTACCGTGAATAAGTTGTAGATGAGTAGCAGCCAAAATTGGAAGCGGAAAGGTAAGTGACTTGGCCATATTCAAAATGATTTCCTTCAAAATAAAGCAAATTTCACTGTCATTATAGTGTTTGGAAAAGAAAAACAATAATGAAAACGAAAACAACAATAATAATGTAACAGTGCTTTTACACACACGTACAAAGTTGCTATAAGGCAAGAAAAATGACAATTTTGAAAAGAGTGGTAAACTGTAAAGTGACTCTTTTCAATTAAAAAACACATGGTTATGAAATAGAAATTCAAGGCATCAAGCTTATTTCAAAAAGTAACTTCATAGTAACCCCTTAAAAAAATAAGGCCTATGGCTATTAAGTGGGTCCTAAAATCATTTATATCTCTTCGACATCTTTTCATACAAGAGCTTGTTTGTGCTGGAGGAAATAACAATCACAAACTCAAACCTTGAGCTGAAACTATAATTTAATTAGAGGTGACAAAAATCAAACTCCTTCCAATTTGGTTCCCAAGGCTCTAATACCTTGTCAACCAATCACTTCAAAAGCTTAAGCTACAAGGTATTCAAGAATTGCTTACGTCTCTGACAGCAATTAATCACTTTTTGCATTTTATTAAGATTATCTATAATGTCTAGTAAATTTGTGGATTTTGTACGGTGGTTGAAGTTTATATGCTATATACAAGTAATATGTAGGGAAAACAGTTCTGACATTTAGGCCTTTAAAATCAATGCTTCAAATTTCTTATAACATAAATCAAAAACTCATTTTATAACATTAATTTAAAAGAGTGTTTAATTTATGATAACATGTGATGCCTAGATGTGGTTTCTTTTACAAATTTTTAAATTTATCAATAAATATCAAATGTGCTTTTTAATAATTAAAAGGTAGCAAGTTGAGTTTTAAAGGATTTACATGGAAACATACGAAGACTACAATCAACATGAAATATGCTGAATTGAAAGGATAAAGATTTTAGGCCAGAAGAAACACTCTGAATGGATTGAAATTTAAGACAGAATTTATTGTTTCCATTTGAAAATTTCTTCCGTGTAAGGTCACTACAAAAATGTTATTAATCAATCAATGGTAGACTACTTATGATTTTATATAATCGTATAATCATCAAACAAGACAAACAAGGATGAAATATATAATTGTTCAGATCTCTATTGATCTTACCAACTCCTTAACAAAAGTGTTTAGAATTTGATGATTAACCTCTCCCTTCAACAAAAGGGGAACATAATTCTTGAACGCCCTGCAAAATCCATGAAATTATTTACACCTTCCAATAGAGGTAGAGGGGCATCAGTTAAACACATACCATGAATTTCCTGCAGCATTGGAAATTATATCATAGATTATCCAAGGATGAATTCCAATTTTGGCACCAAGAGAGAGAGCCTCCACTGCATTAATAAAATGAATGCCTTCCAGCATCACATTAACCATGTTAACCTTGCTGCAAAGGAAAAGGGTGTTAAATTTAATAAATCTAATATATCCAACAGATACAGCAACCTATAAAAGTAAATTTTCGTTGGGATGGACAACGTAAAGTATCTAAGAATTATAATCTAAGTTAATTATTTGCACTTCATGGAGAGGGAGAAAAACAAGGCATGGTCAAATAAAAGTGGTGCCGTTAAAGATTTTTATGTAATGACAAGATTCGGCTCTGAAAGAGCAAGAACGAAGCAAACCTGCCACCACCAATTTCACCCTCAAAAGTGAAGATCTTTTCACACATTGCTGTCAACAAAAGGAAAAATAAATTAACATTCAAATATAAAAAAAAAAAAAATGGCACTTTTCTTAAAGCACGTCAAGTTCAAAAACTGTTTAACTCAATAGATCTCAATTTACCAGAAAGAATAGGCCGTGCTCTAGCAATGGCATCTAGTCTTCCAGATGAAGCAATCTAAATGTTCAAGCAAAAGTAGTCAATATAAGTATACATGCTATGCATAATTAAAGAAGGAAATTTGTTTTTATTGTACAACCAAGTAATAAATTATAAATGTAAAATAATAATCTGAGACAATTGCTTACTGTAACTTTTCCATTCAAAGCATCGGATCTCCCATAAGAGACATATGCATCAACAACATAAGCAATCTCATGAATTTCTACACGATATACAAATATGTTAATTTTGGGCAGTAACACCCTATCACTAAATTGCCCCAAAGTGGGAGAATGAGAATAATTTGTTTGGAAGTCCTTTAACAAAGAATGAACCATCTTATAAGCTAAAAAGATCATGGCATGTGTTACCTGAAAGATCCTTCTCCAGTTTACAGAGAAATGATGGTAATATGGTCGACCGGAGAATAAGAACTGTTTCTGATTTTAGACCTGCATAACCAAAATTAATGCTATTTACATGAAACAAAATCCTAGGAAGTAAAACTTGTTTAATGCCAAAAAGCTGCATAGAGACCTTTCAAAGCACCCTCATCACCAAAAATGAGATCATTAGTTTGATCTATGTGAGATATTAGGATAACTACAGCTGTTACATCTGCAAGTGAGACAAAAATATATGCATTAGGGAGACCATGTAACAGTGTAACTTACATAAACTGTACACTAAAAGTATAAGACAATACCAATGGAACAGTTACACTGACAACGCTCCATTGATCATCTTTTCTTAGAGAAAATCATGACAATACCAATTAACATTATCATCTATCTCTAAATGACGTCTAGTTATTTATTGAAAGGTTATGTAAAACAAAGAAATATTGAACTCCAAGTAACATGAACATGGCAAAGCAGATTTTGTTTCTACTACATGTTCGCCAGAAGGAAGTTCAAAATCTGAAATATCTTTTTTCATACAGTAAATGTGAATACGTGTAGTATCTGAGAAAAAACAGACAAAGGAAAACACACAGAAAGATATGAGAGCAATTTGCCCCAAGTCAGAGAACGATTCTCTCCAATTGCAAACAACACCCTCCAATGCATATAACCGAATTCCCTGTCCAAGCTCTCTGTCCTCTAACTAACTAACTAATTCTGATTACCTCCACTAGCAGCAATTACTAACTGGTCATATTTTCCCTCTTGTGCCTACCAACATACACCTTAAAAGGTTTCTCCCCATCGGAAGTTTGCCCTCCTTGATGCAAGCTAGATCCAGACGGAGCCTGTTTTGACTCAGTTTGACAAAACTTTAAGAGACTTTAACCTATAAGATTCCTTTTAAGGGGTGACTATCAGGAACAGTATCAGCAGTTAATATTATTTCCTCCTTATATTTATACTCATTTTACGAATTAGCATTAATTTGTAATGAAGTGCTGTAAATTGATTTGGTATTGATTGTAAAAGAGAATGCAATAGGCAAGAAAGCTAAATTTCTGATATGACATCAGAGTACTGTAGTTTGATACGTTTCTTGTTTTCGTTTTCTTTTCGGCTCTTGACATCGTATCTGGTTAGGATTTCTTGTTTCTCGAGTCACCTGTGTGCATCATCTTACAGGTTACAACTAATGTCTCATTTTTATTATTACATTAATTATAAAATTCGAATGATGTCGCATATTATAACTATCATTTTTACTAGGTTACTACAACAAACTAGAGCAAAGAAGTATAGTTCATGAAACAGATATGGCTGAAATATCAAGTTACCTGCCCCGGCTTCCGAAGGGCTTGAACATCTAACTCCTCCAAGCTTCACGAGTTCTTCAATGGCGGGACTATTTATCTACGGAACAATTTATTTCCACCGAGCAAATTAAATGAAACCTCACTTAGTAGTATAAGGTTTTGTTGTTGTTGAACAAATTAAAAGCAAACAACAGTTCCAGTAAAATCACCACAATAGAAAATGCAGTAACAAGTGGGAGGAAATAATAATAAGGATGCCTGATTAAAATGCCACAATTCATGCTTGGCAATAACTCCATTTTTACTAAATACATTTGTGTCACCGCATTTTATCATATTATCATCATCAATATATGTTTTATTTATATCATAGACAACTAAAAGCTCGACTGCATTCTCATCAATGATGTCAGTCAAGAGAAGTTGTTGGGTTAACCAAATAATAAATCAATCGAAGTTAAAATTTGAATGTTTTTAACAGGGATTATTTTGAAGATTATATTTTCATTCATTGTCAAATTTACAGTTCTCCTTTTACCATGGTTTGTTTAAAGACAATGTGCACTTATTGGTTATCCAAAGGAAAATATTTGCGCAGGGAATGTCATGTTCATATAAATGTATCGATACTTTGATATAATTTGTTGAGAAGTCCCACATGCCTCTCAATACGCAGCTTTCGTGATCTCAATTGATTCCAAATGGAATCTAACGTAACTATTCTTTTATTTTGTGGAGAATCAGATACTTAAGTACACATAATAGCATAAATTAAATTACTACACTAGCCATCTATGCAATATCAGTTCTTGGGTGTTCAACTAAAATCCTAAAACTAATTTTCCTTAACTGCAGAGTATATCCTTTAAAAGACAACAAAAATTTAATTATATATTAATTTTATAAATATCAAATTATTATAGACCTCAAACCAAGGTTTTTATGGAGTAATAATTCTCCAGATATGCATAGAGTGCTTTAGAATTTTCTTTTATTCCTTTCTTTTTCTTCTCGTCATATACTAAGAAAAATAATTAACCCATCTTATTTTATTATTGTTTTTTACTGAACTTCTATTTTTACCTTTATTAATTAAAATCAATTTATAAGAGTATTAAAAATAATAAAAAAGAGTATTAAGAATAAATAAAAATAAAACTAGTATAGAGAAAAAAATAAAATTTATTGAATTTTAATAACAGTATTAAAAAAATAAAAATAGCATTAAAATTATTATTTTATTATTTGGAGATCCAACAATCCGGAGAATTAAAATCACGTTAAAACAAACTTTCGATGTCAATAAGTAAAAAATTAAAAGTAATTTTTTTATTTTTTTATTTTAAATAAGTCTATACATAATATATATACATATATATATATATATATATATATATATATATATATATACTTTTAAGAGCTAAATTAATCAATTGACTTTAAAAAAAAAAAAACACTCGTGTTAAGGCTTACACAACAATGTTAAATATGCTTGTTAGTGGAATATTCAAACTCAACCTATATATCCAATTGAACGAACCATGTTATCAACATTATGTTTGTATTTTGTATTATAAATTTTAGCATTACTTGCATCGTGAGTATTTCCAATGTAGATAAGATTTTAAAATATAAATAAAAGGAAAATATTTAAAATAATAAAAGACAAACACATGGTTAACTTGGGTGTGAATTTAAAAAAAAATGTGATTAATTTTTAACTAAATAGAGCAACTAATCTTAAGAGAGAGAAAATAAAAAATTTTAAAGTCAAAGGAAAATGCTAAAAGAAAATAATTTTTGTGAATAAACAGTTGAGATTTAAGACAAATATATAAAAATTTGAAATAATTTGTTTTTAAAGAAAAAAATTAAGGAAAAGATAAAAACATAAAAATTATAAAAAATATAAAGAAAAGAAAACAAAAGTATATTATCAAACCATAATTATCTTTGTAATAATATATTCTTTACACTTTTTTAAATGATAAATCGGATTAAATATAATAGATTGGTTTGTCAATTTGTCTCAAATTAGTAAGAGTATAGTTTTAATTTGTAAATTTATTCTAGTAGATCTCATTTAATTCATCTATATATTAAGAACAAAATAAATTGACCTATTTTTTTAAAACATTTATATATTAAAATTAAAATAAAAAATTATAATTACAAATATTATTTTTATATTATTAAAATATATAAATATATTATAATTTAAATTATAAATATTAACTAATTAAATTATTAATTATAATTAAAATATTAATTAATAATTATAAATATATTTTTAATATATATATATATATATATATATTATATAAAAAAAATCACGAATTAAATCTCTAATCCGACAAACCACACTTTAAAAGGTGGGACTAGTTCTGTAACCCGTGGGTTAGCTCTCATGGCCCAGCCAGCCATCCTACAAGATTCCTACGACAACTTTACTTTTCCACGCCTTTTTATCAGTAAATCGAACCGTTGGATGAAAATGAACCACCCATCGAAAACTGAGCCGTGCGATTTTCATTCAACAGCTCCCATCACTGCATGGCAATGTACGGAAACCGAAATGTCAGACCACAAGCAGTCAGATTCCTCCTCTTCCTAATCTATGCGGCAGCGCAAAAAGTGATGTACAGTCTATCCTCGTACGTCAATTAGAACTACCATCCGCAATAAATCCGGTTTACCACGAATTCTAATTAGGTTATATTGAAAAACTAACCTCGAAAGCTTGCACACCGTAGCCATGGTGAATAGCCGAATACGCCATCTCCAAGGTGAACTCATCGACGCCAATGAAACCAATCGCCTTCCGAGGTGTCATTGCGGAGAACCTTCCGATTGAGTTCAGCACACTGCACACTAGAAAGAGGCGCGAATAAAAATCAATAAATAGATAGGTAAACTGTGGATCGAAGTTAATTGAATCAGAAAAGATGAAATTGGGAAATAGCATAGGAAAGAGCAAGGAATTACGCCTTTCTGATAACAAATGGTGCCGCTTCCCCTTTTTTTATCCCCACAAATTTATATACGCAATCAATAATAGGAGACTCGTGCACAACGTGACTAACTCGAGAGTATCTGACTACGTTACCTTATGGTAACATACTTCACCACGGCACCTCTATAAATTGTTAAATGACAAACTTATAAACTTATCTTAATACAATCTTCATTTTCAATTGAAAATTATGAAATAGGAAAGAATCAAAACTCAGAGTTTTAAGACTCTCATTCTTTAAATGTACAGTGGATTGAACAGAGGAATCATGCATTTTAAAAGAATATATATATATATATATATATATATATATATATATATATATATAATAATTAACGATTTTGTATAATTAGTTATTTATATATATTTAATATTAATATATATATATATATATATAATTTTTATATATATCTCTAAAATTCAATCTCATTTTTTTATATTTTTATATTAAAATAAAATATTAAAATAATTAATTAATTTATATCAAATAAAAAATTATATTATAATATTGTATATTTTTATATTATATTATATTATATATATTAATTTGTTATAATAATTAACAAAAATAAAAAAAATTGTTATTTTTTATTTCAAGAGAACTATTATCGACTATTTCCTTTATTTTTTTTAATGTGAAAATGTTAAAAATTTGAAAAATTAGATAAAAAAAACTTTTAAATTTTATGTTGTAAGATTAAACCATTAAAAAAATATGAAAATAAAAGAAAGACAAACACAATCAATGTAAATAAAAAATTATATAAAAAATTAAATGTGATATTTTTTCAAGTGAAAAGGTAAAAGATAACATCTAAATTTCATATATATTTAAAAAATATTTTGTAGTTAACTTTTAAAAATTAATTACTATATATAAAAAATGATTTTTTTATAATAGTCGCGACCATCCTAAACCAAGTAAGCTGAGACTACAGTCTTAAGTTTTAATCCATACAGTGTTCAAATAAGTGTTACATTTTTATACACTTATGAATTTCTGATTTAAAAATCAAAGATTAAAATAATTTATATACGTTCTATTTTCTTAATCATCAAAACATTTTTTAAAGACATTTTAAAATATCACAATTATGTATAAACTCAAATTTTTAACAATATTAATCATTATTATTACAAAATTTAACATTATTCAATACTATACCATAAATAATTATAAAAAGGGATAACAAATTTCTGAGATATTTAAAAATGTTTTTAATCAGGTCTGTTAGTTTTTTTTATATGATTGCTTTATAAAACTTCTAAAAAGCTTCATAGGAATATTAAATTAAATTAAATAAATAAATATAATCAATATCTTAAAAATATATAACATGTTTGATAAATATTATAAAAAATTTAAAAAGTATTAAAAGTATTTTAAGATAATTAAAATTATTGGCTATTTTCAGGAGGAAAAAAATTTAACCTTATATTTCGATAAGATATTTTATAAGAAAAATTATATATATTAAAATTGAATTTATTTAATTTAAAATATTTATTTGGATAAGATAATTTTAAAATTATTAAATTTATTTTTTAATAAAATATTTTAATTACTAGTAAATATATAAATTATCATTATGAATTAGGTTCAATTCATAAGCCTTAGACTATGATAGATTAGTTTAAGTCAAGTAAAATTAAGAAAAATCAAATTAATAACGTTGAGTTTAATTAAAATAAATTATACTAGGTTAAAAAGTTTTGGTCAAATTGGATTAAGCTCCTAGGTTGAGATAGGTCAGATTGTATTGGATTATGTTGGATCTATACGAGTTAAATTGGATTATAAATGAATAGGATATATCAAGTTTAGATAAGTTACACCAAATAAAATAATAGGTCATATCAAAATTAAACAAGATAAGTTAATTAAGATAAATTGGAACAGGATAGGTCAAACATAATCAGAAAGAATTTGATTAGGTTAGGACATGTTATATCAAAATGAGTTGAACCAAATTAATATAGATTAAATTAGACTAACACAATATGAACCAGATCAACCATAAATAATAGTTAAAAATATGTTGGATTAATTCATATGAGTATGGTTAGATCTAAGTCATGTTTATTTAAATAAGTATGTGTTAAAAATGAGTTAAGATGAATAAAAGAAATTTCAATCGTAAAATATATATATATATATATATATATATAAATAAAGACATAAATTAAAAAAAAAATCAAATTCTTACTCGTATAATATTTAAAATTATATTAAATTAAGTAATCAAAATATTTTCTATCCCTTTATAAAATTTTAACTACTTTTAAATTCTCTGTCCAAATAATAAATTTTGTCATAAAACATTTTAAATTTTTTCTATTAATTTAAATTACTCTATATAATTTCAATAGAAGTAAAACTATTTTCTTAACTTAGTGATATATCTTTAACATGTAAACCTCTCAAATTTTTAATGCGTATTTAAACTTTTTAACTGTGAAATTTTTTTCAAAACTCAAACTGAAACTAATTTAGTTAGATATATATATTTATTGAGTTGACTTACTATAAGAAAGAAATGAATAGGACATCGATTTTACAAACTCCTCTAAAATAACTACTTTAATATTAAAATGGTTATATAAATCATATTAATTTTTATAAGTAAGGGATAATTTGTACAAGAACGCTGATATATTGGGGAGAAAAAACATACTATAAAAAATTCAGTTTATTATTATAATAATTATAAACAAATTTTATAAAATTAAAAATAATTTAAATTTTTTATTATATTATTAAATATTTGTTAAAAATAATTATATATATATATATATATATATATATATATATATATATATATATATATATATATATATATATATATATATATATAGAATAAGTCACAAGAAAAACGTGCACATTATTGGTAGATGGATGCATACTATTGAGAACTCTTACTCACTTGTCGGAGACATCCTAAAGGCAAAATGTATGGTATGTCTTTTTCACTGAGTCATTTACAGATCATTCATATTCCAATCCAAACATATAAGACTATGGACATTGGATAAGATCGAAATGTATGCAACAACTGTTTATGAATTTTATAAAGATTTTAATATAATTTTTATAAAAAAATTAAAATAATTTTTTAGATAATTATTTTATTTTTAGATTTATTTTAGATTATTATTGTTCTTGTACTTTTAAAATTTTTAATATTTAAAAAATCTATAAATATATTTTTCTTATAATTTATTGATACATCTTTCACAGATGGTCTAAAAATAGATATAAAGTAAATCATATATATATATATATATATATATAAAGTTATTAGATTTAATAATATATATTATATTATTTACTCTGAAGTTAATATTAAATTATTTATAAAAATTACTTTAAATATTTTATTTTATCCAGATTTTATATATATATATATATATATATATATATATATATATATTATATCTAATAATATGGAGAATAAATAGAAGACTTTAAATCATGATTTTGTTATAAATATAAATAATTTTGTAAAAACATGTTGAAAAAGTTATAAATATTAATATTTAGTCATTTAAATTTTATTAATATAAAATTATAATTTTTTGCAATTTTATTTCTCTGTCTTTTTGATATATTTTTCATTTTTTTTTAAGACTGAAATTTTTTTTTTAATATTTTTTGAGGTAGAGTATACGAAAATAATTCAAAGAGAAATACAGTTTTATGGAGAATTTTTGCTCCTTGAAGACTTAAAACTGTTAGAAATTGAAAATATACGGTGCTTTATTTATTTATTTATTTGGTATGCAAATTACTTATGATATGAGAGTAATATAAAATGCGATAGGTTAAATGTTATTATTATTATTATTATTTTATATATATATATATATATATATATATATATATATATCCAAAAAATATGTTATAATATACTATTCTATACGTGGTTTATTGTACGTGGCTGTATTACTCAATAAAATATGAATTAGTATCATGCAGTTATTATTTTGTAATAAATTTAAATTTAACATATTTATTTTTAATTATTAGTTTATTTTATATGTTACTTTTAAATTATAATGATTATGTACTAGATAGAAAAAAATAATTATCTCATTATAAGTCTAGAATCAATAGAGTTTTATTTTGTTATTAATTTTCCTTTTTATAATGTATTATACGTACATATATAATGAGAAGAAAGTTTATATTTTAAAATATTTGATTATGTAAATGATATGCTTTGAAGTTGTTATAATTCTTATCTCTAGAAATCTTATATATTACTTATAAATTTATACTAATCTAATATATAAACTCGCTTTTCTCCCGAAATTTGTAATATACAAAATTAGCTAAGAATATTTTTTATATAATAATTTATTATAATAATATTATTTTAAACCGACTTGAAATCAGAATATGTGTGCTCTTGTTCTATTAATAATAGAGTAAAAAAAAAACGTTATGTTTACTTTATATTATTATCTGTTTATGTGCTCTTAAACTTTTATATTCAATCTGTAATTTATATATTACAGAGTATATATTTATATTATGTTATGAACATACGCACATTATATTTTATATTAGGAAAATTGAACTTAAAATCATTAGCAATACTAGATAAATTTAATATTATTAATAATCTTATATATGATCAAATATTAAAGTCTTTCAAAGTGCTAAATATAATTAGTTTAAAATACAAGAAAACCATTTTAAACCAATTAATGGGTAACGTCTTCATGGAATTAACAACTCAGTGAATCCACCCCTTATTTATTGTATTTTAGGAAGAGAATTAATGATAATATATATATATATATATATATATATATATATATATATAAGTGATGGATATTGAAAAAATATTTAAATAGTTAGCCATATAAAAAATATGAAATATTCTTATTTCATGTTAATTTTAAATTAAAATTTAAATAATAAACAAAAAAAAGTAAAGAAAAATTATTACTATTATTATTACTCAACTACTAAAATTAACTATTTGTTCTCTAGCATGAAACTCATTGGAGTTGATAAACATGAAATATATATACGTTGAAAAAAAAATCTCGTATTTAAAGAATTTTTAAAAAATTATTGAATAAAAAAATACGACGGAAATATATATAATTGATTATATCAAAACAAAATAAAATCATTTTCTTTCATTTAATTTAACTTTTTTTTTTCAGTCTAGACTTTGTCATGAAATTATGACTTCAAATTATGCCATGTCGAGTCTAAATCTATGACATACTTTTGTTTCGAGAATAATAATTAACAAATTTAATCGGTATTGATAAAAATATAAGATTGGTTTGATGGTTAAAATGAAAGGAAAAGAAAGATAGATCATAAGTTGAATATTCTTATTAGCAAAAATTAAAAATATATTTAAATGTTTGTTTATTATTTATCTACATACTCTACTAAAATAAGTACATAATGTGAAAAATTAAGTCTTAGTTAACCAAATTTAAATTATATTAATGCATGATAAACACGTTTCAATCTAATTAACAATAATTTCAGAAAAATATTAAGAAGTGTTTAAATAACAGAAGGAATTTTACAAATTTTTACCTTGGCTCTTTTTTGTCATTTGTAATTCAGTATTTAAAAAAAAGGATATTTTTTTAAATTATAAAATGATTACTTTTGATTTTTTTTTCCCTAAGATTTAACTAACACTCTAATAATTATTTAGTTCACTTTTTTTTTTCAAAGAATAAAGTGTAATTCTATTATTGGCTAATTTTGTACTACATTACATATGTAGTTTTTGAATTGGTTTCGAGTTCAAAAGCCGAACGACGTCGTCTCTCTCACTTGTCAGGTACCGTACCATTTCATCCCTCAATAATCCCTTATTTTTCTTTTTTCTGTTTGGCGGCTGAGAACAATTTCCAATTATTTTACCAGTCGATTTTCTCTCGTCTCTTAGATTGTGAAAAACACTACGATTACGAATTACTTTCTCTGCAACAAAATCACTCCTGGCGCCCGCATTTGGAATCGCGGTTTCATTGTTTCTGTGCTGACAAACTGGGAGTGAGCAAGTTCAATCTCCGTAACACATTTCTCTAAGGTTGGAATTCGAGGTTAATTATTTGTAACAAGAGCATGTGAATGTTCTTCTCTTTGCATTTTGTTGTTGCATGGCATGAAACTGTTGTGTGTGCAGAAGAGGTTTCAAAATTTTGTGCCGCCATTGCGATTTCGTTTCGGTTTCTTGATATTGCTCGAAATTACAGACAAATGCGACCATTATTGCGGTCAAGTTGACGTTGCAGCCAAAATCGCGATCGCATATTCGTGTGAGGTTGAGGTTGTTCTTGTTTCTAATGTGTGTACATTGATGATGATTACTTAGGGATTGTGTGAGCTGGGGTGCAATTGAAATAATCTTGTTTGTGCATTCTTCAATGTGTTGTTTGATCAATGCAAGTAACACACTCTTTGCCGTCTGTTAAAGTTTATTGAAATTTATAAATTCACGAGGGAGATTAAAAAAATAAAAGGTTAGACGCATAAAAATTTGTTTCACCTTATAAGCTTTAGTTAATACTTAAGCATTTCAGTTCTGATTATGTGGTGATTAATTATTGGCATTTCAGTCTAGTATGAAACGAAGACTGAGAGAAGAAAATAGAAGACTTGGGCTATCGAATGGTGCATTTGAAATAGTAGCTATGTTGTTTCTTGTATCAGACAAGTATCCGCGTTAGGAATTCATAGATACTTTGAATATTGTTACCTGTTTTAATTTTTCCTTTTCTCCTTTTTATTTTCAAACTTTACACTTATACGGATAGAAAAATCACAATAAAGTATAACTTTTATTATGTTTACAAGGACTTATGCTTATTTTTAAAACATTCGTTCTCTCTTCTGATTTATGATTTGTGTTATATGTTAATATTGTATAAATTTTATGCATTGTATTATAATTGTTGTGTTTGAGATTTTTAAAATTTGTCTGTCTCTAGCATATCATATCCATGTCGCAGACCATATCCCTGCTTCCTAGCTATTAATCTAGGTACTTGAAGTTGTATTTTTATTTGAACTTGAGTTCCTTCCACAAACAAATACATCCTTTTCTATGCAGGAATTGATGTAAAATTGAGTAGCTCATTTACGTAAACACTCCCTTCTTTGTGTGTTCAGTATCTCCCATCCACTAGGACCGTTACTAGAGTATTTTGAATTGTCAAAGGAAATTTTTTGTAGAACTGCATAAACATCATCGTTTCATGTTCTCTCTGCAATTTAGGACTGTGTGTTTCTTGCCTTCTTTATTTTTTATTTTTTTGATAAAAGAAGCTTCTATTTCAGATCTGCCGGGATTTGGGGTGGCATCATAGGTTTTGTCGAGAGTGTATATCATGTCGAACACAAAATTGGAACTAAGTTCGGTTTGTAACTAGGCCTTAATTGCCAAATTTGTGAAACTCTCACACATGTGAAAGAGATAGGGAGGCAGGGGTTGAAAAGGTATGAATGACTGTCCATTAATTCACATTTTTATGGTACAACAAATTTTATTTTCCTATTTCTATTTACTGACACACAACATCTGTCAGAACTCGGAAGCAGTCATAATTTCTTAATGGAGAGTTCCGAAGAGGAAAATGATGGAGTCTCTGGAAATCATGTTCCTAAGGAACTGATTCGTTTGGCATCTAGTGGTGCAAAATTTGTAGATGAAGTACTCAATGGTCAAAATGAATGTTGTCTGGAGAGTTTTCGCATGGATAAGCATGTATTTTATAAGTTGTGTAATATCCTGCGAGCCAAGGGTTTGTTGCGTCACACAAATCGTATCAAAATTGAGGAGCAACTGGCCATATTTGTGTTTATTATTGGGCATAATCTGCGGACAAGGGCAGTTCAAGAGTTATTCCGTTATTCTGGAGAAACTATTAGTCGTCACTTCAACCATGTTTTGAATGCTATAATGTCAATTTCACTGGATCTATTTCAGTCTCCTGGCTCTGATGTTCCTTCAGAAATCTTTGAAGATCCTAGATTCTATCCATATTTTAAAGTAAGATTTCTGGAAATGAGTCTGATCAGTATCTTGTGTGGGTTAATTTTATCTTACTTTTTTTAAAATTCTTTAATAGGATTGTGTGGGAGTAATTGATGGTATACATGTACCAGTGACGGTAGGTGTAGATGAGCAAGGACCTTTCCGCAATAAGAATGGTTTACTTTCACAGAATATTCTGGTAGCTTGCTCATTTGACCTCAAGTTCCATTATGTTTTGGCTGGATGGGAAGGATCTGCTACCGACTTACAAGTTTTTAATTCAGCAATCACAAGACGGAATAAATTGCAGGTCCCTGAAGGTAAATATTCTGTGATTTTGGTAAAATTATGTAAAATGCAGCTATGATTTAGGTAGTAATACTGTTTGACCTCTGTCTCTTGAATGATACCAACTTTTAAGCTCTAGCACTAGGAAATTAAAATCATTTTATTTTCAATTGTATGATCTGTTGATTGATTAGGAAGAACTAAACTCCTTGTCCTTTTAAGTTCACATCAATTTCATTCTTGTAGCAAAAGTTTTGTGCTTCAGGTTGTAATGTTTTTATAATCAACCCTTTCAACTAGGAGAGGGAAAGTAATTTATAAATTTTGGACAACACTAACTAAATTTCTTTCTCATCTCCTTCTTTAATATTTGTAATGATATTAAATTATGTTAATCATGTTTTCCCTTCCCTCCTCTTCCATTCTCTTTTCTTGAACTAAACAAATTGTAATATTTTCCTATCTATCCTTTAGCTGCATCAAATTGAAGTTCATCAAGATAGTTTATCTTTCAATATTTTGATGATTTCAACTTTTATTTGGTTGTGGTTGTGAGAGATTGATGGTTAGGAGATGACAATGCCAAATGCCACCTTAGGTGATTGGTGATGTATTCCTATTTTCACCGAGCAACTAAAGGAAAACTTTTCCAACTTCTTTTTTAAGGAAGTGAAACAAACAAAAGCTAATACAACGAAAATGAAACTTGATGCAAACTTTAAGGTCAAATGATTAATTATTTCCTATGACTTCCATACACTTATAATTTGTCTTCCGATGCAGGTAAATACTACATCGTAGACAGTAAGTATCCAAATGTGCCAGGTTTCGTTGCTCCATATTCCAGTACTCCCTACTACAAGGAATTTCCCAGCGATTTCCACCCACAAGATGCTAGTGAACTATTCAATCAACGGCACTCATTATTACGAAATGTCACAGATCGAACTTTTGGGGCTTTGAAGGCACGATTTCCTATATTGATGTCTGCTCCTTCTTACCCATTACAAACACAAGTGAAGTTGGTGGTGGCTGCATGTGCATTACACAATTTCATTCGCAAGGAGAAGCCAGATGATTGGCTTTTCAAGATTTATGAACATGGTTCATTTCCAATGGAGGAATCACAACCCCCAATAGAGATGGCAGTGCCACCAAAGATCGATGTTGAGACCCAGACCCAGCCATCGGATCATACTTTTGATTCTGAAGAAATTGTACTTGCTTTACAGTTAAGGGATTCTGTTGCTGCTGAAATGTGGAATGATTTTATCCACGATTTCCCTCCCATGTAAATTTCTTTAATCAAGCTTATATGATCAGATCAGGTTTCCATATTTCTCAGGATCAGTATATGAGACTATGTTATCATAATTTACATTAGCATTTTGTCCATAAAAGAGAAGTATGCCTGTATATCACATCTCATCATATAAGCTTTTGCTTTTAATTATTGTAATTAAGATGGATTATAGGCTTCCAATATTGGGAATGATCTTCCAGTCCCTGCTGACAGATGAACCCAACAAGGATATTGCCTATTGCAGTAAAAGGTAAAAAATCATTCATATTTTATATTGTAAAGTTTTCTTCAAAAATTGGTTTCCTTTGCCAACTTTTATTATCCAAATTTCTTAAAGTTGTTTGGAAGTGTTTATTTTGCTGTATGTACTTCCTCTTGTCGCCAAGTGCGGTCGTGTGGGTGACCTTTACATTCACTATTCACAGTATGTTCATGCCAAAAGGATATGGATACAGTTGGTGTACAGTACACTCAAATTTTCATGGGACCATAAGAAATATACTGGCATGGAATTGAGAGTGAAGGTACATAGACAGAGAAGTGACTTAGCTTGAAAGGCTAAATATATTGTTGTTATGTTATGGAATTTTGGCACTTGATTCAGTACTCCGTAAGATATTATGATATTCCTCACTTTCTTTTGCGTTGATATTTTTGTCATGCAGTGAACTTCAGAATATGAAATTACCTAAAACGTCCATCCACACAACTCGAAGTGTTAGTATATATATATATACAGAGACAGAGAGAGAGAGTGAGTGAGATTTTCACTTTCTTGTAAGTTGTAATGTCAATACTAGAAATCTTAACCTTTTACCTTAATATAACACTTCTTCCAAAAATTTCTGAAATGTACTCCACAATATAGTCCACACTTATATTTATTATTCATCCTTTTCAATTTAATATATCTCTATAATCATTTTAACTTTAAAAATGAATAATGAGTAGTAGTTGAATAGATACTACTCCAAGTTAACATATTTCTTAACTTTTTAAGATGACATTAAAACAGAAAAAGAATGGAAAATATTTGTTTTATTTGTTGTTTCTTACACAAATTTTAAAGTAAAATAGAAAATATGTTCTCAAATTTAAAAATGCCTAAACCTTTCAAGAATGAATGAGCCATATTTGTGCCTGAAACTTTTTCCTTGAATCCCCAACCCCCAACTTGAACTGTAAAGTTAAAGAAAACTCAAGCTCCACGTGAGTTTAGTCTGCATTAGGAAGAACCATATGAGTGTGATGTGTGAAACCTCGTGCGCCATGTATGATAGCATAGCCTTTTCCCACTTTGTGCAACTCCCTTGACGAGTAATAAACAATTCACAGTGTCATATGATCACTTTACAAGTAAAATTTTTATATATTACAGTTCAATCCCGAGGGTGTGTTGGAGCTGGGATGATGGTGAGAGAAGCCAAGAACATTAACCTTTAATTCGCCTTTTAGTTGAGGCATTACATCATATGATAGTCCTTTCAACCTAGCTTTGGCTTAAATCGAAGATTTGAAGAACCATTTTCTTGTAATTTACTTACACTTTATAATTTCGCTGTTCAATTATAATTTTCATTTCTTACCTTTTTTTTTTTTTTTTTTAAATATTTATGACCATGTGCATAGTTACAACTTTCAAGTATCATTTGCTCACCATATTTAAGTCTCCCCTAGTACATCTTAATGTTGTAATTATTGTAACTCATCAGTCTTGACATACTTTATTATATCAATGTTTCTCTTGGACAGAAGTTATAATGTTTCAGTGCTTAATATTTAATTGTTCTCCTTAACCTTTTCCTAAAGCCTGTTATAATGATCCATATTATAATTCATCTTTTACAGCTTACAGGCATCATTAGGTTATCTCCCTCCACTCATTCAAAACTATACTCCATGCTACAATAGATGTTAATAATACAATTATTCTTTCCCATCAATTTCCATGCTTTAATTACACCAATACTTCTTATTGGATACAAGTTCTAATGTTTCATAGCTCAATATTAAATTAATCTCATGAACCTTTTTTTAGACCATATTATAATGCATTATGCTTCCAATTTTTGCTTTTTAATTTAAATGAAGTTATTGTATTCTTCTAGCTGAATGCTTTAAATTTTTTCAACCCTGCATTCACCTAGGATTACTTTATTAAATTATTTAAAAAAGGAGGTTGCTTTTACAGGAAATCACACCAAAAAAATGTTTTGTTTCTCCTTGATACTCACAAAGCTAGTAGTCTACTCAGAGTTTGCATCTTTAGCTTAAGAAAGCATCTCAAAACTGTCCATCTAAGAACTCATTCCTCCTCTAAGAGAAAGTCATAAGAGAAAGTCATAAGAGAAACGAGGAAAACTTAAAAGATAATAACAATAATTGAGGCATCTTACCAATAGATTTTGACTTTCCCTCCACCTTTTATCAAATGTAACCTATAAGAATCTGCAAAAGTTGACAGAGACTAGGGAAGAAGGAAATTAAGCAATCAGAAAAGAATTATATTAGGTTTTAGCTTCATAGCTTGGGCCATTATCTATCATTGACATCGTCAAAGAGGAAACTGTGACCTCTATAGATTGTATTCTGTTAATAATAGGATTATTCTTGTGTGCATTTAATACAGAGAGCATATAGGGCTATCGACCCTAAAATAGAATCAAATATGGCCTCAGAAGGCATTCCTTACCATTATGGTTAACATTTGACTATAGTCAACTATCCAAATATAATTAGGTTAATTAAATTAACTTGTTCACAAAAGATTCAAATAAAGAAAAACACCTATATTAACTATGTAATTTCCTAGTTTAAACCCTACTACCTACCTAACTCTCTTATTTTGATTTCAAAGAAAATGTCCAAGAAGTTTTGCAGGTATTTAACCTTAAACCACCATTGACAGTGATAAACTGATAATCACCCAAAGCAACAATCATTTCAAACACATCCTATTCCTTTTCCTTTGATCCCAACATACTTTTTCATCCATTCTTTGCAGTGCATATAAACCAACAAATCTCAACCTCATCGTATTCCTACTTGACACAATCTCATTTTCCCAGAACCTCCACAACACATCAGAGAGTTTCTCTGCTTTCATCTCTGATCCCTCACTCACCACAACTCACAACACAACAATGCTAGATCCAGCCACTGAATTGGTGCCACCACCATCTTCACCCACAATCTCTTCCATTTCTTCATCTGATCTTGACACTGAGGTATCATCAAATTCACTTTCACTTATTCACATTACCCATTTCAAATATCTCAAAAAATCTCCAATTTTCTTCACACCTCGGATTTTTTATTTTTTTTCTAATTTTTTTCCTTTTTCACGTAAAATTAATCGAAAGTTTTATTTTTTTCTTTTTGGGTTTTTGAATGATAGTCCACCGGATCATTCTTCCATGACAGAAGCACCACATTAGGGACTCTAATGGGAGTGAACTTCCCAACCATTACATTCAGAGTCCCATCACAGCACCGGAACCCAATTTCCGCCGCTGAGGCAACCGGCAGCGCAAGGGGGACCGCCGCCGCAGTCAAGAAGAAAAAAAGGGCCACCGTCGTGACGACATCGACTGCGGCGGAAAGACGGCGGAGGTGGTGGCAGCTTTGCCGAGACGGTGACGCCAGACCGGCGTCGCTTGGGGAGTTTCTGGAGGTGGAGCGGCGGTTCGGAGACGGCACGTTCTACGGCACGGCGGCGGAGCTCGAGGGGATGGTCGCCGGCCACCAGCAGAGAAACGGTGGCAGAGTGCTCTTCGCCAACGGGAGGGTCCTTCCACCTACGGCCGACGTAGACAACGGAACGCCGCCGTCGGAGAGCCTTTGCAATCGGTTTCCGGTCTCGCTCGCCGGAATTTGCAGCGGCGGAGCGGCTTAGGTTGTTATAATAAAGTTTTTCATTTTTTTTAATATTTAAAAAAAAAGGAAAACAAAATTGGGTTTATTTTGATTTTTTTTTTTTTTTTTGGATTGTTTGGTTGTTACCAAATTGGAAGAATAGGATTCTTTTTGTCCATGGTTTATGTGCAAAACGCAAGCTTTGCCTTTTGCCTTTTGGGCTTTTTACTTTTTCTTCTTTTCTTCTTCTTTTCATAAGTGTGGTCCACCACCTTATAATTATATATTATTCACATTATTAATACACAGACATTATGGGTGATTGGTAGTAATCATATGCTCCATTCTGGGCAAAGGGTGAAATAAATTATTAGAAATATATGGATTACAGAAAGATTTTAACTGTAAAACTAACCAAAACCAATTTTCATGTTTATTTATTCTATCTGGTAATGTTAACTGCAAAGTGTAAGAAAATTCAAGCTTCACGTGAGTCATACAAACTAGAAGTGACAATATTTATTAGACAGAAATTATGTCTTCCACGTATGAATATAATTAAATGTTGAAAAATTGTTGCATCTACCACATGTTATTGATAATCACTCATCAGCATCAATTCTTTGCATAAATGCCTTACTCAACAAATCATATTTCATATCCTTGATCAATCATTTTTGTGCCTTACGTTCCTTAATAAGGATCTTTTTATCATTCCACAGTTACATCTTTAACTGCATAAATGAGTGAACCAGACATGGATTCCTGTCACTAAATCATTTGATATAAAAATGCCTTTCTTTTGATCCATGTTGTGTGCTTTAACATCACATTTATATTGAACAATGAAATCAACACATCTAGCAGTAGGTAGAAAACAAAAAGAAAGTAAATTCCATACAGAATTTTTTGTCCAAAATTTCAACCCTAATAGTTGAATCTCAATTTCTTTCTTTCGGTTTTAAAAAAGTCTAACCAGAACACGAAATTATTAATGGAGAACAAATTTTGGGTTCAGGTCCTTCCACACTAACTGTTGTATGCTCATGAACTGCCCTTTTTCCTGTAGTTCATTTTAGCGTCGGTTTCTTTGGCAACTGCATTTTCTATCTCTCTTACATACCCGATCATGGTCGTTCAGCATATTTAAAGATTTCATAGGAGAGTCTGGCAGAAAAATCAAAGTATTAATGATTTCATTGAGAATAAACTGATAATTGACATCTCCATCCAATGACAAACCAGACCCTCATTGAAAATTGAACCGCAATACAATATGTTCATAAATTTAATATATAGTTACATACCAATCCAAATTGTTCTTCCAGCACAATTAGAGTTCATTAGTTAATTTAAAATAAGTAGCTGAAAAAAAAAATATGTATCTTCTTGTAGAGCAGTATAGGAAGACATAGAAAAGCTCTTGAGAGACAACAAAAGACCATACATGTTCAATTAAATAAAAATGTGTTTTACCGAATTATACAAAGGGGATGATGCCAGGTTGGAACTGGTTTTTCTGTGATCACCTCTGACTTATGGTCCCATAAATCCAACCTTTGAACAAAGAAAATGCGCCAAACATCAGCTAGAAAAAAACAAGTTTTGCTTTGTGCCTCGTAGAAGACACCTGGACTTGAAAAGTTTCAAACATTTGATTCTAAAATGATAACTAACTGTAATTGATCCAAAATAGTACACAACAAAAACAAGATGCTCAAAAATACTACAGAAGTTCAACTGAGAAGTACCATCCTGGTAGTGGCTCATGCATAAGAGCAAGATTCTGCCATTTCTCAATCTCTTCTTCCCTCCGATTGTAATTCTGTTTATAATTCAAAACCCAATAAGGTATGCTGCAGATCTCCTGCAGTAAAAAAAGTTGGGCAAATTTAAATTCTTTAAACACAATTTTACAAAAGAAACATTGGGTTGTAGGTATGTTGTGCAACAGGCACATCTCTTCCTCCAGAAATATCCGAAGGGTATTAAAAAGTTTAATCTTTCCCATATGAAGCAAGAGTGGCGCTAATAATTTGGAGATATGCTAGAGCTTTATTTACGAAAATGATATTTCATTAGGATCATGTAGTACAGCATGATAAGGCAAGATAACATGACGTAATAGTACTTGAGAAGTGGAGAGCAAGAAAATCTTCATAGAAGCAAAAAAGAAAGAATAGAAAAGAAAAGCTTGATCATTTGGACAATATATACCATAAAAGAAACAACCAGAGAAACTTGAAAAGCAATTTATAGAAAGAAATTGACTCTTATTAATTACATGAGAATTTTATATGCTAAATCTTGTATGCACTACCTATTTAAATCACAAGGATTCTACTAGACCAAATGGGACAGATTTTAAAAAATTTCTTATAAGCCTAGCTACTCAAAGGCACAGCTACTTCAAATAACAACTAAAATATCATTCAAATTTCGCTAAAGCAAAAATTCAACATATACCACTTGTGCCACTTCATATAATGTAGTTAAACCATATCATAAATTGCTTCACTTGTGCAACCAGGTAAAAAATATTAACTGCCTGAAATATTCTTCGCAGAACATTGATTACCTGAAGGAGAGTGCAACCTCTTTTAACTGTTGAAGATGACCATACAAAGACTATATGCAACAACGCATTTTCAATGGGGTTCAACCCACATCAAAGCTGCAACAGTGCATTTGCTAAGCATTTAGCCAAACCTATCTTTAGTGTAAGTATAGATTTCAGTGTGAATCAGTTACTGTATCTCACCACTTTTTATTATTTGTTCAGATCTCCTGCAGACAGTTCTTGAAGTAGTTCCTATGCTTTATCTTTTCATTTTCTATTTCCATAAAAAATCCCACTAGTTCAAGGAACAAACCTTCTAATTCTAAGCAGGGTCCATTGACAATGGTGTTATATGTGACAACTTACACTGCAGTTAGTTCAACCAAAATGCTGAAAAATCTCTAGTTCATTGTTCAGTCTTTGGCCTTTGTAAAATCTATCAATTAGTATGGGCACCTATCAAAACAATTTTATTTTTTTATTTTACACCACTGAATTAAAATAGTCACCTTGCCAAAATACTGGTTTTGCAAAAAAGTATCAATAAAGATATTGTAACTTGTAAGAGATAGATGGCCATCCATAACCTTGTATATCATCGTTGAGCTCCCATGTAGATGAGATTCTCCTAGACTCCTGAGCCACTAATAGCAGAGAATGAGGTTATAGTATGAAGAATCAAACTGTTGAAAGGCATATCTCTGAAAAGATTCATGGCTTCTTCCATCCGTTTACCCTTGCAATATTTATCCATCAAAATGCAATGACTAATACCATAAGAAGCAAATCCCGTCTCAAACATTAGGTTTAATAATCAATTGCATAGAAAACATGGTGTATCTAGGAAAAGGCATCTAACAATATATTATAACTGATTAAGTTAACCGGCATACCACTATCATGCATCACATAGAAAAGCTCCCATGCATGAGAGATTCTCCCAGATTTACACAGGCCATCAATGAGAGAATTATAAGTTACTAAATCAGGAACCAAATTTCGGTGGTGCATTTCTTTAAAAAGGTTCATGGCTTCACCAATCCTCTTACTCTTGCAATACCCATTAATCAATATGTTATAAGTCGAAACATTTGGAGTCAATCCCCTTTCAAACAGTAGGTTAAATAATTCACTTGCATCGTCAATAAGTTGGATTTTGCAAAGGGCATCTAACATGATATTATAAGTGATAACATTAGGGGACGGACCATCAGCTTGAATTGCATTAAAAAGTTCCCAAGCATAAGAAATTCTCCCACATTTGCACAAACCATCAATAACAGAACTGTAAGTTACAATGTTAGGAACCAAATTGGTGCAATGCATTTTATTGAAGAGGTTCATAGCTTCAACAATCCTTTTACTTTTGCAATACCCAATAATCAAGATGTTATAACTCCAAACATCAGGCATAATGTCCCATTCAACAAATGTATCAAATAATTTTCTTGCCTCATCCACATCATTATATAAGCAATATCCACTCATCAAAGTGTTGAAAGTAACTACATCTGGTCGCTGACCCCTTTTAATCATCAAATTACACATATCATGAGCTTTTCTGAACATTCTCTTTCTACATAATGCATCAATTAATATATTATAGGTATAAACATTTGGCTTGACATTTTTATCAACCATATCACTCAACAACCGGGTAACTTCTTGCCACTGACCCAAACTACAAAAACCATGAATTAGACAAGTGTACGTAAAAATATCTGGACTCATTCCCTGGCCAACAATCTCAGAATATAAACCACATGCCTCAGTTACAAATCCATCTTTGCACAAACCATCAATCATCATGTTGTAGATCACTACATTAGGCCTAACCATTTGCCCTTCCATTTTATGCATCAACTCATAGGCGTCTCTTACCTGTCCTATCTTACACAGCCCATTGATCAAGGTCCCATAACTAACTTCATCCAACACAAACCCCTGAGCCACTACACTTTCATGGAAGTCCACAGCTTTCCTAACCTCACCATTTACACAAAGCCCTCTCATGAGTGTGGTCAAGGTTACGGCATTGGGCTGATAACCCCCCTTGAGAACCATGCCCAACACTGAAAAAGCAAAACCCATGTGACCCAGGTGACAGTAACAATTGATCAAGATACTCAAAGACACTATAGAAGGGGTGATTCCTCTCAACCCCATCTGTTTATACAGTGATATAGCAGTCGGGTAATGCTTCATCTTCACTATTGACCCTAAAATCATGTTAAATTCTACAACGGATGGAAGAGGGTGAATAGTGATTAAGCGACTGAATAAGGCCACAGCATCACCAATGGCCTCAAACCGAGAATTTTTTTTGGCGCTTTGGTTTTGGGAATAAGAAAAGAACCTTAGAGATACACTAAATTTGCAAATGGCATACCTTAAGCTTGATGTCTTAGAAGTGTACGACATGACAATCTTCATTCCAATGATGAGCAAGATTGGATTTTTTATCTGAGCTTCCATTCAACTCCTCCCAAACTTGAAACGAAGAATTTGTTGGTGTGAACTTTGCAAAAGTCATCTCCTGCGAAGATGAATCCAAAAAATGAAGAACAAACCATAGCAGAGAGAAGCACCTCACTCACTCGCTGTTTTATTTTTTAAATGGAATAAAAAACAAATCTCCAAATGAATCTTGTTAAAATATTTACTTGAATTTTTATTTTTTTTCACTTCTGCGTTTTTGTTAATTGATGTCGAAAAAAGAAGGTATCCAAATTCTGATTTGTGTTTTAGTTTTTCTTTAAAAAAAAATGAGAAGAATGTTAAATTAGTAAAATAAAATTATTTAATGCCAATAATTAAAAATAATTTTTTATCAAAAAATTATAATATTGTATTAAATCAATTAAGTAATAGAATAATTATTAATATTTTATACTAAATTTAAAATTGAATGTTATCAATATTGATTTGATTTAATGTAATTTAAAATTTTGATAAATTTTATTAATCACATTACATTTAATTAATTAATATATTTGTTTATGGAAATAAGAGAATAAAATATTATATAATATTAATATTAATTTTGACATCAATATTACAATTATCAATTAAAATTATCTTATATTGATTAATTTTACATTAACATAAATTTGAATTAATGAAAATAATTACTTGATGTTAAAGAATATATAAATCAGCTTATTTTAAAAACCAATTATGAAATAACATATAAATTATCACAATATCAGTTATTACATTACTATTATGTTATTATTATTGGCAAATTTTGGGTCATGTATATATATGATACATATTTAAATGTGTTAGGGTCATTATTTATTAAGTCAAATAATAAAGTGATCTGAATAAATTAAAGTTTTGACTAAAGGCATATGTCATAGAAATATGATTGTGTAGAGACCATAGAGTAATTTCTAATTTGATGAGGGACCAAATTGAAAATACTAAAACTTAAGTAATTAACCTAATTTTGGTTATTTAAAGGGTCATGGTCCCCTTCTGAGAGCACACAGACAGAACGAAGTTACAGTCCCGTTTTTTGCTTTCTATCCCCATCAAGAGAGAAAATCAATAGGGAAATACAGGTGCTCTTCAGGTGGAAGACCATAAGATCAAATCAAAGGTGCTCTACAAAGAATATCATCATTATGACTAATTCAGGTACGCTTTTGCATTTAGTTTATAACATGTTTACAGTATGGGATTATATATATATATATATGTTTGATCATTAGGAAGAAGATCATATTTAATTATCAGTTTAACCTAACAATTGGTATCAAAGCGACCCATACATGATTCATGTTTGTATTTCATAAATTAAATTTAAGAATTCAGAACCCTAATCTCAAATCTACGTAAACCCTAAATTAAAATTTGGGGTTAAATATCCTGTTGTCTCTTCGCTTCACAACCACCACGTGACCGAACGGTGCGTGAGGCGGTGGCCTGGTCACGTGTAAGGCGTGACTGAGGTAGTCCATGGGCAGCCGCGATTCCTATGACGCCTTTGGGCGCAAACGGGTAGGCGAAGTGCGGTTCGTGGGATTTGGCGAAGAGAGGGTTTGCTGGAGTTCAAATTGGAAGGATATGTTGCTGCGGAGGGTAATGGTGGTGCGATTGAGGGAGCGGCGACACGGGCCGCGATGCAGTGGTGGTTGTAGCGGCGGCGTGGTCGACAGGCATGGTGGTTTTTGGTCAACCTTTGGAAATCTTATGACAGGCATGTAGTGTGATACAGTGATAATGCTGAATGAATGATTCATTTCGTGTGAGGTTGCAGTTTGTCAAAGGATAATTTTTTTTTTTTCCCTTTTGCTCATGTTGGACTGCTCATGCGGTAGTGGAGGCGTTTATGCGCTTGGTGCCGTGGTTGCCAATTACATGGGGACCTAAGAAAACGTGGGACCCGTTGCCTTAATTAACAAGAGAATTTGATGGTGTTAATGTTGTGGGACCCGCTGCCTTAATTAAAAAGCCATCGTACGTGGAATTATAGTACAATTTTTTTTTTAGAAGTGGCTCTTGAGACTTAATTTGGTTTAGGGTTACCCTTATTAATATATTCAATTTATTTGGTAGTTTAATATTTTTGTGAGCAAATTGAGTCAAGAAGTCACCAAAGTAACTTCTCTTGAATTGGGCAGTTCATGAAAAATATTGAATGTTAGTGTTTGTGTATATTCATGCGAGTATTAGTCGGCCCAAAGGAAGATTAATATTTGGCCGAATTGCATACACACTTGTAATGATAAACATGTGATAATTATAAGAATTTGCTTTGTCGATGATAAATCAATCCAAAGACTGATTTGTTGTTGGACGTGTTTTATTGTCAATGTTTGATTATTATAACAAGATACATCTCGCAGTTAATATTACTGTCCAAAGACTTGATATTGATGGTGCATTGGGTGTCTTGAGATGGGTTAAACCATTATTTGAATATATATTTATTTTTATAATGTGAGCATAATTAATTTATTTCTCTTGTTTTTAATTTAACTACAATTGTTTCTGTATCTGCCAATTTAAATTATGTTCCAATCCTCAAAAGTATGTTTCCTACTTTGGTCTATTCTGAAGTCAATTTAGCGTTAGTACCTAGTAACACTTGGTGGTTAGACTCAGGTGCAACTACTAACATCAGTGTTTCTATAAAGGGTTGCCTAAGCTACCGGAAGCCAATTGATTCTGAAAGATGGATATATGTTGGAGATGGCAAATCGGTAGAGGTGGAAGCTATAGGGCATTTTAAATTGTTATTGAGTCCTGGTTTTTATTTGGATTTGAAAGACACTTTTGTTGTGCCGTCATTTAGATGGAATTTGGTTTCAGTTTCTTATCTGGACAAATTAGGTTATTTGTGTTCATTTGGAAACAATAAGTTCAGTCTGTCTTTTAATTCAGATATTATTGGAACTGGTTCACTTTTGCCTTATAATAATCTGTATTTACTTGATACTGTGACCACCTATAATGAAACCCTTAATACAGAATCACGGGGTACTAAACGTAAAATTGATGATACTCACTCAGGAGCATTATGGCACATGCGCTTAGGTCACATCTCTAAAAATAGAGTTGAACGACTTGTGTTAAATGGAATCTTAGAGTCCATTGACTTCACAAACTTTGATGTTTGTGTTGAATGCATTAAGGACAAACAGACCAAAGCGAAGAGATTAGGTGCATATAGAGCTACAGACGTCTTAGAGTTGATACATACGGACATTTGTGGGTCATTTCCTACACCTTCGTGGAATGGTCAACAATACTTTATATCATTCATAGACGATCACTCACGATATGCATACTTATTTCTTATACATGAAAAGTCACAATCTCTAGACATGTTCAAAACATTTAAAGCTGAAGTTGAAAATCAACTCAATAAAAGAATTAAGTCTGTCAGATCTGATCGTGGTGGTGAGTACTATGGCAGATTTGACGGGTCAGGTGAACAGCGTCCAGGACCTTTTGCCAGGTACCTAGAGGAGTGTGGAATTGTCCCACAGTATACCATGCCGGGATCACCTAACATGAATGGTGTAGCTGAAAGACGAAATCGAACTCTTAAAGATATGGTCAGGAGTATGATTTGTCATTTCACCTTACCAGAGTCACTCTAGGGAGAGGCACTAAAGACGGCAGCTTATATTCTGAACAGAGTACCAACTAAAGCAGCGACCAAAACACCTTATGAGCTTTGGATCAGGCGACAACCTAGTCTGAAGCATTTCCATGTGTGGGGATGTCCAGTCGAGGCAAGGCCTTATAAGCCAAATGAAAAGAAATTGGACTCCGAACAGTAAGTAGTTATTTTATTGGTTATCTTTGAAAGATCCAGGGGATATAAATTTTATAATCCCACATTAAATACAATTTTTGAGACGGGAACTGCTATGTTCTTTGAGGATATTGAGTTTGGGGGGAAGAATAAAATCAGGAACTTTGTCTTGGAGGAAGAATCGGTAACAATTCCGAACCGATTCAAACGAGTTACTTTTGATAAATTAAGTTCGGAACCTCCACAAGACATTGTTAATGAACCCCTTACTCAAGATGATTTGGTTGTTCATGAAGAACAAACTCAATATCCTCAAGAACCTGTGTATCATGAGCCAATAACTTTGCGGAGATCCACTAGAGAAAGAAGAAGTGCTATTTCGGATGATTACATGGTATTTCTTCAAGAACATGAGGAAAACAATGGTATGATGGAAGATGACACAGTTAACTTCCGTCAAGCCATGCAAGGTTCTAACTCTGAAAAGTGGATTGAAGCAATGAAGGAGGAGTATAAGTCCATGCAAGACAACAAGGTTTGGGAACTTGTCCCATTACCAGAAGGTATGAGACCCATTGGTTGCAAGTGGATATTTAAGACCAAACGAGATTCTAAAGGTAATGTGGAAAGGTATAAGGCTCGTCTGGTAGCTAAGGGCTATACCCAAAAGGAAGGGATTGATTTTAAAGAGACTTTCTCTCCAGTTTCATCGAAAGACTCTTTTAGGACAATCATGGCTCTTGTAGCACATTATGATTTGGAGCTTCATCAAATGGATGTCAAGACGGCGTTTCTTAATGGCAACATTGATGAGACGATTTATATGGTGCAACCAGAAAATTTTGTGCAGGGAGATTCAAAGAGTATGGTTTGCAAACTGACAAAATCCATTTATGGACTAAAACAAGCATCTCGTCAATGGTACTATAAATTTTATCAAGTAATTCTCTCATTTGGCTTCGAGATGAATATTGTTGATGATTGTGTATATCACAAGTTTAAAGGGAGTAAGTATATTTTCCTGATCTTGTATGTTGATGACATTCTACTTGTCACTAATGATATGGGCATATTGCACGAAACCAAGAAATTTTTATCAAAGAATTTCGAAATGAAAGATCTTGGTGATGCGTCTTTTGTATTAGGAATTCAGATACACCAAAATCGATGTCGGGGTATTTTGGGATTATCACAAAGGAGCTATATCAAAACAATTCTTAAAAGGTTTGACATGCATGAATGTAAATCCGGGGATACTCCAGTTGCTAAGGGAGACAAGTTTAGTCTAAATCAGTGCCCAAAGGGAAATTTGGAAATTGAGGAAATGCAAAAGATTCCCTATGCATCAACTGTAGGGAGTTTGATGTATGCCCAAGTATGTACGCGTCCAGACATAGCATACATAGTTGAGGTTCTAGCAGATATTTAAGCAATCCAGGAATGAACCATTGGAAAGCAGCAAAAAGGGTCATGAGATATTTAAAAAGAACAAAATATTACATGCTCACATACAGGAGGTCAGACCAGTTGGAGATCGCTGGGTTTTCTGACTCGGACTTTGCAGGATGTCAAGATAGTTTGAAATCCACTTCAGGTTACATTTTCATGTTAGCAGGTGGTGCGGTTTCTTGGCGCAAGTGTCAGCGGACCCTTACAGACTTCATCCACTATGGCAACGAGAATTTGTAGCATGCTATGAGGCGTCAAATCATGGAATATAGCTGAGAAATTTTGTCACAGGGCTGCAAATTGTGAAAGGCATTGAAAGACCACTTAAGTTATATTGTGACAACAAATCAGCTGTATTGTATTCCAACAACAACAGAAGTTCGACTAAGTCAAAACACATCGACATTAAGTTCCTAGTTGTTAAGGAAAGAGTATAGAGTCGACAAATTTTCATAGAACATTTAGGGACAAACTCCATGATAGCAGATCCTCTAACTAAAGGACTTCCGCCCAAGGTATTTCATGAACATGTTGCTCACATGGGTGTTTTACAGTTTGAGGAATTTGTGGTTTAGTGGGAGTTAGTCATTTTGATATATTTTATGTTCTATGTTTAATTTTATATATGTATACATTGTTATTGGACATATTTGGTCATCTATAAATATGCAGTTTTTTTGTTCATTCATTACACTTTGTACATTAAGGTTACTATATCGATCTCGATAAGTTAAAGTTTGGACCAGTTGAAAATAGACGTGTACAGATCACATTCACGTAATTTTTCATGCTACACATTTCATGATGAATCCATGTCATTTAGTTATGTTAGGATGAGTAATCATTGTTGGTTTTAGTTGCGATGATGCAATGAAAAACTGGTTTGGTTCTATATCCTGATATGATTAATGGACAGGACTTTTGGAATATGTTAAAGGAATATAATGACAATTTTGAGCTCATAAAGTCTAACACATTTGTAAGGTTGTAAAGACATATATATTTGTGACCAGTGGGAGATTGTTGGCAAATTTTGGGTCATGTATATATATGATACATATTTAAATGTGTTAGGGTCATTATTTATTAAGCCAAATAATAAAGTGATCTGAATAAATTAAAGTTTTGGCTAAAGGCATATGTCATGAAAATATGATTGTGTAGAGACCATAGAGTAATTTCTAATTTGATGAGGGGTCAAATTGAAAATACTAAAACTTAAGTAATTAACCTAATTTTGGTTATTTAAAGGGTCATGGTCCCCTTCTGAGAGCACACAGACAAAACGAAGTTACAGTCCCGTTCTTTTCTTTCTATCCCCATCAAGAGAGAAAATCCATAGGGAAATACAGATGCTCTTCAGGTGGAAGACCATAAGATCAAATCAAAGGTGTTCTACAAAGAATATAATCATTATGACTAATTCAGGTACGCTTTCGCACTTAGTTTATAACATGTTTACAGTATGGATCTATATATATGTGTTTGATCATTAGGAAGAAGATCATATTTAATTATCAGTTTAACCTAACAATTATAATATGATAAAATCATACTGAATATAATAAATAAATAAATAAATAAATAAGAGCTATAGAACAATTAATATAGGTATATTATTTTAAATGTAATCTCACTCCCCTGTCTTCTTTCAAAAATAATTATTAGATAGATTATGCAAGTTTTATTACGAAAAAGATAAAATTAATATTATTATAAATATTAATTTTTTAATTCAATAAAATAACATGATTGTGTGTATAATTCCTTCTCATGTTATCGTTTATTTTATATAATTTTTTATTTTAATATTTTTATTTTAAAAGCTATACCATTATTATTTATTATATTATTATATAATAAAGGATATATTTTAATTACATTTTCATCGTTTAATAAATTATTTTATTTTTTATGAAATAACAATAATTTAATTATTTAAAAAAATATAAATTGATAATCACGCACTTCTTTGTTAAAAAGGTATTTAATAGTGTAATTTCTTAAAATTGATAAACATCCTTCTGACATTATTTAATTAGATACTTTAATAATATATGATATAATAATTTTCTATATATATATATATATATATATATATATATATATCATTAAGTTAATATTTGTTAAATAAGATGATATGATAAAAGAAAGATGACACAAACACGACAACACACATTTTCGCTAGTATTAATAAGAGACAGGATTGTATAATCTTTTTTTTTCTAAATAATTCATTCCTATTTTACCCTTCATTTCATATAATTATTTTTATTAGCAAAATATAATTTTATACGCAATATTTTGGTAACCTTTTTTTGAATATTTTTAAAATTATAAACTCTAATTATTTTTTAAAATTACAATTTTATTTATAATATTTTGACAAATATTTTCGTAAACATGGACACTATAATAGGGTTACATGCTATGGGCATTTATCAAATAGGAGGCTTTTTACACCAAACACATAAGGATTTTGGGCAGATAGAAACAGGAATATCTTTTATTTAAATTATTAGTAGATAAATTGCAGTATTCTAACACCTCCCTGACGTTAGAAACAGTCCAAAAATATTCATATCATATCCTCCTATTACTACGAGTTTTTCCAACAAAAAATAATGACCTTCTAGATAATAACTATCCACATCTTCATCTCAGTGGCACCAGAATTCTTAACATGGTTTTGTTGCTCAAAAATATCACCACACTTACATATTTCATCACTGATTTTGAGGTGAGGATAACTTAGAGTGAGGACTTCACTTGAATGACTAAAGTTGCTTGAACATTGATATTTGAAGGAAAGTTTGGAAGACAATGCTCCAGGGAGATAGATGTGCCTAGATGTCAAATGGGGGAGTATGTATCTGTAAATTTCAACTATGACATGCTACAGCAAAATGACTTTGCTAGCTCCTCTTAGTTTTCTGTTTAAGTCTCTTAAAAGCCATAAATGTAACTGCTGCAGAAAGAGAATACCTGACCCAAATACAAAAGAAAAGTAGTTAGAAAGATTATTCAACCTCATTTAAAGACTTGATTCAATAAAAACCTGCTTATTTCCATTGAAAACCTAAAATCTTTCCAATTCAATTGAAATGTTTAATTTCTATGAACTTTAGTATAAAAGTTTTAGACTATCAAACCAATCAATAAATCGCTGATATGACTGCAAAATAGTGATTATAAGAACAGTCAACAAGCTTCACATAACATGATGACTTATAATTCAATGACAACGTAAGAATCTTTTACCTGGTTAATGCATTCACTATTTACTTTATACAAAAAAAAATTATTTCTACACATTATCAATATAAAAATTGACACATCAACCAATAAAATATAACCATTTACTGTAAGCAACACTACCAAAACTACATGGATATTCAATGAGGATTGGAAAGTAGGCTACCATGTGAAAGTGTAGTTTAGGTGGTCCCTAGGCATGACAGAACTTCGAATCAAGGAATTCACATCCTTGGGCACAGGGTAAGGATTACTTGGATTGACATTTTCATTGATATCTTCAACATAGATAGTGTTTTCTGGAAGGCCACAAGTACGAGCAATGGCAGGAACATCAACATAGAACCATTGGGAAGACTTAGGATCATTTGCAGGAACAAATATACTTGGTTTCTCACTTCCTCGAACTACACCAACAACTTCTATAGGTGTAACGGACGGAACCTGATCCTGTAAGTTCCACATGATAAGTTTGAATGCATAATCTCTCCGCATTAAACAAGAAATAAGAAAATGACTTAGGGGAGAGGCAACCTCAACAATAACAGGAGGCTTTTTAGACCACAATCTCCACCAAGATGCAGTTCCATCTGTGTGAGAAGGGGAAGGAAGCGATTCTGCCAATTTTTCATCTTGTGAAGCCTCTAAAAATTTGTCTTTCCAACTGCGTGGAACCCACCCTCTGTTGACTAAAATTGGAAAACTCACACTGGAAGAAGCAAAACACGATATAAGAACTGAACAAACTATGAACAAATAATGCAATTTATTCATTAACCCAGTGGCAGGGAAGTATTCAAAACTAGCAATGGATTGCTTATCATCAAGAAAAAAACTATAGTTGACTTGAAAATATGATATACAAAGTTAAAACATTAAAGTTAGGACTCAAAAGCTTGCATAGTGATGCAAATAAATGGAATATCTTCTAAGCTCTCAACTCAATAGCTCTACAATGTTTAGCCACACATTGCATCTATGGAATATTGATGAAAAGAGAAGTCAATGACATGAAACATTCATAATGGACCACAATAAGTTGATAATCTTTCACCAAAATTAAAATCTTAAAGTTTATTAAGGACATGGAGATTTCAATCAAAATAAAAGAATCTACTACAAGAGAAAACTAGTGAGTACATAGTATAATAAATATCCAATTTCGAATAAGGAATTAGTTTCTCTAAAGCAAAGGGTAAACTTGAAAATAAAGTTCAATACAGCTCTCAATTAGAAAACCTATTGTTGACATAATAAACAAACACACATATAATAAGCTATATTAAAGGTCAATTTTATAATCAACAGATATAACTGAACTGCACTTTATCTTCTAAAGTGGATCCCCTTACTTCAGGAAGCGAAATCCTTTCAATAAATAGCATCATTGAATATAATGACCAATACTTTCAACATCAACATTCTAACAGAAAATTCATCCTTTGATTAAGTGGTGTTAAAAATAGTATGTAATGATGAGGAAAACTTTCAATCCACTATATCTGTAGATAGTTTTACAATACAAGTGAACCTATGTAAAAGACTAAATGAAAATGATCGCCTTAATTACTCTAATCAAAGATGCAGTAACTTCTACTTTAGTGTTGTAGTGTATAGAGTTTTACACTAGTATTTGATGAAATTTAAGCTCTAACATATCATAGTAAGCAAAACAGGTAATGCAAGAGATTAAAAGTTTCTTGTGAATTAATGCATTACGTTCATTGACAAAGCCATTAATGTTTATGTTTTACCTGTCAGGACAATCGGGAACTGGCATAAGAGGTGTTATAATGTAGTAGCCATTTTCAGTAACTCCTGAAATACTTCTTGAACGTGGTCCAATATAGATTGATTTTCTATCATCAAAATATCCTTTGCAAACAACCTTTCTAAATTCCAGAGAATCTACTTCCTCATTTGATGAATAAGCACTACTGAATCTCAATGGTTCTATTTGCAACCTTTTCTCTCGATATTCCAACATTTTAATCTGTAACATTGAAAGACAGAAGGAATTTTCAATGATCTAATAGCTAAACATGAAAGCTCAAGAGTTAATACAAAATAAACTCAATCCCCCAACTTTTTATCTTCCAAATGTTTACAACAAAATACACCATCAGCCAAAGTGTTTCCCAGTATTAGCAGAACCAAATCAGTCAGGGTATCAAGCAAATGAGTTTCTAGTTGTCCGAGTGAATTAATAGCTGAACCACATAGACCAATATAACATATAACAAATAATATATAATATGTAATGTTATATTCATTATACATGTGACGGGAAAAAATGAAAATGCTACTGGCACAATGATCTTGTGCGCCATCTCAATTCCCATGTCTCCGGTTCAACACCGTGAACGTAACTTTGATATTTATACATTTTTATAAACTTTGACCCCAGCCACTCCATGCAGCACTTTCAATGTGCTTATTCACCTACTAAGTGTAGTTTCACTCCATGCAGCATGTATACACTGCTCAGTAAATCTAATTTATGACATGTTCATTCAAATTTGAGTTTCAACAAAGCACACTAACTGTGGCAAAACAGTGCATTGACAATTTTTGAAAGGGCCTCATTTCTGGGTAAAGAAACAACCTTTGTCCACCTTCAGTTCACCATATTACCAGAGCAACGGATCTTTGTTACTTTTCTTTGTTCAGACCGGAGCAAAATTCCACATTTTCCTCCTCTGTTGTTTCACCTATTGCCTTATCTGCCACTGAAGCTACTTTTTCTTCTATTTTTTTTATTCATTTTTGCAAGAAACGTGTATGACTTAGTCAGTTGAATGAATGTTCAAGTCACCAGGTTTGGTAAAAGCCAGCCAAGTCATTCAGGTTTAAACCTAGCTGAATGCATTTCTGATCCGCAGTGGTGTTCAGACTGACCATATGAACCGTTTCCTGTACAACCTGCTGATCTGAACTGAGTTTTACAACATTATCGTTACCTATTAGTAAAAAAATTTAATTTTACCGAAAATCTTATAACATATTGTATTCAATCCATCCATGTAGCATGGAGATGGAAATGTAGAGTGCCATAATCCACAATATAAGCCTACAAGTAAAAATATCCTTAAGAGGTTAAGAATTATGAGATGAGTGCAGATATGAAAGAGTAGTGTACTCAAAACATGAAGAGAAAAATGACAAAACATTAAATCGCCTTGATGCATAAACTTTATTGAAGTTAACTGGATCACCATATCAACAGAAATTGGCTGAAAATATCATAATCGTCAAGTCACAAACAATTGATACCCATTTTCAGCAGCCACATGAGTTCAGAGAAAGTTCACAAAATTGGTACGTGTTAAAAAACTTCAATAACATCACACAACACATCACATTTTAAGACCACAACCACTAAGCAGGTACCCTGGAGTCCTTTTACATGATCCTCATCATAGATTCACAAAGCACATTGTGATACCCCCATTCACTTGCAAACACTTCATTGCAAGAAGAGAAAAAAAAAATACACAATACAAGTATAATTGGTGGGGTTACTTTTCACATTTCACATAATCTTCTCCAACATTCACATAATATTGCTCAACACCATCCCTCCCCCTTCCTACTCAACGCCCCTTCATCAAAATTAATGGTTCGAAATTTCATATATGAAAACAAAACGATCATGTGAAAGCAAAACAGCTTCCTAATTATTATGAATTCAATAAAAAGACGCACCTTTTCTTCTCTTCTAATAATCTGCCAAGTCCCAAGGCCAAATGTGATTGCCCCAGGCAGAAACAGCAACCATCTAGATGCTTTTTCTTTAATATACCCAAAAAAATAAACACAAAAAAAAAAAATTAATGACCATAAAAGAAGTTCAATTTTTTTAAGAGACTCCAGCATTGCAATAACCAAGATCGACCCACACGGAGAATTGATCAAAGGAACAGGAATCAACACATACTCTGTGATTCAGAATAAGAGGGAATTGATGGGTCGGAACCAGAAGCAGAAGAGACGGAAGGAGCGGCGGAGCTGAACGACCTGAAAGAAAGTAGGTAGTCGGAGGTAGCACCACCGCGTGCGGCAGCGCGGCGGAGATAAGTTAACATTCTGGCGGCGGAAAGCGACGAAGCCACTGAGACATGTGATGTGAACAGAAAAAGCAAAGAGGGACGAAGAAGAATGAAGGGTTTATGGAGATATAATCTACTGCATGTAGAAACACATTAAGGTTTTGCATGCTGGCATTGTATTTGAAAATAAAAATTAATTTATTAAAGAAAAAATGATACAAAAAATAAAACTGTATTTAATACTCCGTTTCAAAATTTGGTGGTTGTTTAAAGTTTTTCACATAAATTTTAAATAATTAATTTATATAAATTTAAACTACATTATCCTTATACATTGTTTTATTTATAATTTCTATTATATTTCCTATTAATACATTTATATTCTTACGAAACAACCAAAAAATAATAATAATTATAACGGTAAAGTGTGAATAAAAATCAAAGCTATTAATATTTCAATAAAATCAGTTTTTAAGTACTCAACTTTATAATTGAAAAGTAAATAAATAATGTTTTAACTTATATATATAAAAGGATAAACACTAAAGTTTTTTAAGTGGAGGGTTTAGTATTTTAGCATCTTCAATATACAAAATAAGTATTTATTTTTCATAACTATAATAAAAGAATATTTGAAAAAAAAATATATATATATATTATGATTAAAATATATAATAGATACATTTTTAAACATATAAATTGTTTTTTTTAATAAATAATTTATATATAATATTAAAAAAATTTAATTGATGATTTATTTTAAAATAACACTAAGAAATTATTTAAAATATAAAATGAAAACGAAATTCTAAAATATATTTAGTAAAAGAGACATTGGTAATATATTTTATTTTAGTATTTTTCATATTTGTTGGAGCTTAAGGTAATTTTTTTACCATAATGTTTCGTTACATGGTTGGGAAAGGTTATTTAGAAATAATAATAATAATTTTATTACTCTCTCTTAAAGTTATTTGAGAAAAACAATATTTTAAATAAAATAATCCATATATACACATTGTTTCTTTTTTTTTTAATACAGATTAACATGTTATTTTATATCTTTTCTTTTCTTTGACAAGATCCAAGCCTGTCAGTAAATTGGTGAAAAATCACATATGCTGTCATGAATAATAATTAAAATCAATTGAAAAGTTTAATTAAAAGTTATATAACTCTTGATCATACATAAATAGCTATACAATCTTGTTTTATATCCATTTTATTTATTTATTTCTCTTTATCATGTTACATGTGCTTCTCTGGTTTTTCTTTGTCTTTTACTATCGAAAAAAAAATGTTTTTTTTTTTCACTATTGCTAGCCATTATCATCAGTAAAAATCATAGTTCAGCTCAGATATAGGAAAAATAAATAAAATTGTAGGTTTTAAATTGTGATCATGATGATAGAGAGTTCTGGGAAGATGTTCTTCTTTATTCATTCTGCATTCATGACATGAAATTTCATAGATGCGTATTATGAAGAAAAAAACAGAGCAGTCAACAATGCAACAAAGCCAGGTACACCAAAACTCCATATGGAGTAATCATTTTTGTTGAACTTGTTGATTCAGCACTGTCCACATCAGGTACAGAACCTTCACCTACAGGAAGTAAATATACAGTATTGGTAACATCTATCAGATTTGTTCATGAAAACATTACTCCAAGCATCACTAGCTGAACAATTTTTCCCTTTAGCATGTTGAGAAACAGATAGTCCAAAGCTTTTTATTCATGTAGATGAATTTAGTCTGAGTTAATTTGTATAACCTATTGAATGAATCTCTTCTTTTCAATGTTTCATATGTTCATGTTAAAGTCTCCTCTCCTTTGTCAACATAAGCACATAGGGTAGGTGATGATTTACCTTCTGATGAGCCTGCTACATCTACTACGAAAAATAAAATGATGAACCATTACCATATATAATTTGTGTAATTCAAATGCAAAATTTTAAGGCTTGGTAAAGATATTTATTGTTATAGAAATAGGTCTATGACTTACATGCCCTGTCTTTTGCAGCAAGATACAATGCAGAATACAACACCTAAGTTCATTGGAATATCATGCAATGACTTGCATAATTGCATTACTGAGGTGAAAGTGAAATCACCTATTAAATGGAAGAATAATTTGAAGAACTTCCTAAACCAAACAAAAGGTATAACAATCAGTGAAAAACTTTACTAATTCTCCTCTATGGGAAAGAGAAAAGAGAAACAAACATCAATCATGACAAGAAAGAAAGAGATAAACAAACCATCACAAATGAAAAAACATGACAACCAGGACTCAGCTTCAATCCAATAGGCTTTTGCAAGAAGAAAAATGATGAAAAGTAGTACACAGAAAGCACAAAAAACAAAGAAAAAGGGCCACAAACAAATGATTAATTATTAGTATTAGTATTATATCTTTACCTTGGGATCCTGCTGTGTTGCTGCACCTAGAAGGGTCAGTTTCAATGCCACAAGAGTGGGGAAGCTTTAACATGTCATCCCTGGGAAAACCAAGGGACTGAAACAGAGAAGGATTGTTAATGAAATTGCAGATGCACTGTGTGTTATTGTCATTCAACTCCTTCAAGGGGGCACAACAAGCCTCAGAAGGGTTGATTTGAGACTTCAAGTACGACTGGCATGGAATCAGCTTTTGCATGCATGTTGAATCATGTAGAAACCCAGCGCCAGGTAGGAGCTGGTCAAGCGTAATTTGACACAGACCAACATGAAGATATGAAGAGAAGAACATGGCCAAAAGGAGGAATGAGAGGGGTGCAATGCTACAACCCATTTTCTTCATCTAAAGGGGGACAGAATATTCAGAAAACAACAAGAACCAACCAAAATTTTTGGAAATTTTATGTTGTTGTTGTTTTCCTTTCTGTTCCCCTAGTGCTTCATTGTGGTTCATGTTGGCTATATATATAAATCTAAGGGAACTTCTATTTTTAAAGGATTCTTTTTAAGATCAAACCAAATTGAGCCAACCAACTCTTCACAGGTTGTTCTGTTTCGAAATTACACCCTTTTTTCTTCTGGTTTGGGATGTGTATTCTGTATCACACTATTATTGTTTGACACTTTGTTTTCTCTACCATCATGTTGGAATCTGCAAAATTCATGAAGTGTGTATGTTCATTTTTAGATTTTGATATGTTATCTAGATTTCTGTGGAACAAAGATCTAGATAATTTAGTTAAAATTTCACGTGGTCTTTCTGAATATAAATTAAGAAAAAATATGAATATAAATGATTTAGTAATATTTTGATTTTTTTTTCAAACTATAGACAAATAAGAAAATAATTTAATAATAATAATAATGTAAACAAACTCATATTATTATTTAAATTCTCACTTTGTAACAATACCTTCGATAACATATTTAACGTATTTTTATGGATGGATGAGGAAAAAAATTTGTTTGATTAAATGAAAAAAAAATTTAAAGGACAAAAAAAAGAGATAAATTTATTTCTTATTAATAATATTATTTATTAATATAGTATTGTTTTTAATTATTTATTATTAATATTATAATAAAAATAAAAAATTTATATCACGATTTTCTTTTGCATTTCTTTGCATTAACCGCCAAAATGATAATATATTTTTTCTTAAAATTTATATTTTATTTAGATTATTTCTATTTATGAAAATGATAATATTTTTTTTATTTAGTTTAACTTTTAAGTTACAACCTAAAACGAGTTGATTAAAATAAATTTAATTCAATTTAAAATCACAATTTGTTTGTTTAAGTTATTTCTCATATATTTTGAGTTAAGTTTATTCTCACATCCTTAATTTTATTTATCTTGAAAAAAAGAAATTGTTTCATTGTTTTCTCTCTTCTTTCTCTCAATAGAAATAATCAAAGATTAATTTTACATTATATGTTCATAATATGAAAATGAAATAACTAATTAAAATATAAAGATTTATTAATTATATAAAACTCCTTATATATTATCAAGTACAATTGTATTTTCATTAATAATTAGATGACAAAATTGATTAAGTCTAACTAATTGATTTACATGTCCACTAAAAAAATAAGGGATGAAGTAGTAGTTTCAACTCACGAGCACATTTTTGTTCATCTTAGAATAAATTGACATATTGATTTATTTTAAAAAAAATATTTATATATTAAAATTAAAATTAAAATTATTATAATTAAAAATATTATATTTTTATATAATATCATTCAAAATTTATAAATATATTATAATATTATAATTTAAAATTATAAATATTAATTAATTAAATTTTAATTATTAATTATAATTAACAAATTTAATAAATGAATATATGAAATTTTTCAATTTAAATAATAAAAATATTAATTAATAAAAAAATAAAAATTATTCATATAATTAAATATATATTTTTTAAAAATTTATATAAAAAAATATACTTATTAACCCACTAGTTTATTCTAATTATAATAAACTAGTTCATCTCAATCTATTTTTACCTCAATAAAAGCAACACGGACTTAAAAAGATGAATTGCCTATTTTGCCCATCTATCAACAATAAAGTTAGAAGCAAATATATATCAAATTTTGCATATGTCTCTCTCATGTGATAAAGTTAGAAGCAAATATATATAATTTTTGCATATCTCTCATTTTCACATGGCCTTAAATTAAATCTCTAGCATTGGATGCTGATCCAAACATGTCATATCACCAAATTTAGTGAGAATTGAATGAAAGGTTGATATTGTTTAGGTTTTCTCTGTTACCAAATCAATTGGTTTTCTTTTCTTTTTAACAAATTGCTAAATTAATGGTCATGTACCAACATAAATTATAAAATTAATCATTATCTTATTTAATAACCTATCTTTTTATGAGGATGTAAGAAAAAAAACAAGACTAAACAAAATTAGAGACTATTGTCTAACAAAGTAAAATTTAGAGACCATTGTGGTTTCCAAATGCATAAGATTCAAAAGAATCAACTACAATCTAATTTCGTATAAAGGGGCTTAAAAAGGATAAGCATCATGAAATGTGTGTATATAAAACAAGAAATAAAGCTTTTGAAATGCACAACTACACCTCACCCATGTGCCTTGTACACAAGAAAATTCGTGTTAGACCCTTCTTTGATGCTTTACCATCCATGCATAAAGGTACAACATAATCTAAACAAGAAAGAACCAACAACTTCAAATGATATGGAATCAAATGCTCTTTATTCTGTCTTCTCATTTGAAGGACAAATGTTATTCCACCAAACATCCACGTTTGTATGTAATCTCCTCATGTGTATGTGTCTCACACTTCATCATGAACAATTATTGAATCATGTTTTAATAAAAACAGATTCTCTATTATCACCTAATCTTAAGATTCAATCATTGGAGTTCCATCCTTGTTTTGGTCTACAAATGACAATGGTACATCCTAATAGACTTTTTAACTGAATACCAAGACAAAATATACATGTATTCAAATGCAAATACAAGAATGCTTCTGTGATCCAATGAGAGGTTTTATACATTTGTCAGTAGGTGTAAAAACTTTTGTCTTCCCAGCATCTAAGAATTGATAAGAGATAATATGAAATGAAGTTGTAATAGACTTCTAATTTGCGACTGTAAAGTAACGGAATAAAATGCATTTCTTTCCTATTCATTTGAGCCATGATTTTCTTTCAAGAGATATTAATCACTGATCAGTGATCAAGCCAATAGTCATAATGAATCTGAAGATTATTCACTGTAATATGTATAAATTATACATTATGATGAAAGTTAAAAAATCATATATGAAGACTTGCAGGAACTTCATGGTGAAGTAAATTGCTACAAAGTAATAATTATGAAAAACTCAAAGTATAAGAAAATAATTGGGACAAAAATGCCTACCCAATTTCTCTACCAATGACCAAAATATTTGATCATACAATTGCAGAAGTATATAAATCTAAACTTCCATTCATCTATGTAGGGCTAGTTGGAGGCTAGTAGAGAACAGGATCCGGAGAAGTTCAAGGAGAAACTAACACTGTCTGATCCAGATGAGCTGCATTCAGGTGATTTCTTGCTCATATAAAAGTATGGTGATGTGCTCATCATCCTGAGTCAATGCAAAAATATGCTTCAGCATTAAAAACTCAGTACAAGATAATTGAATAACAAAATGCTATTATTATCAGTATTATGTCACATGCTAAAGTGCATGTGTGTGTAATTTCTAAAAACAGAGTTCAAATGGCACCACCAAAGTTTGCTAGACAACTACAATGGAGAACATGGAAACATTTATTCCATGACAGAAAAAAGTTTATAAATGTTCTATACCATGTTGAGGAGTTTAATTTATATGCAACGTTGACAATGTATATGAGCTAAAATCTTTGAGTATAATATAACATAAGAACACATTAAAACTTCTTACTTTTTGTTGAAAATTTCACACCGAGTGCAAATTAAAGTCTATAACATTAAGGGATACAGGAAAATTAAATTGACCAGTTGCATCAATTACCTTTCCTTTCTCTTCTCCAAAAACCGAGTCAAGGATGCTTTACGTGCCTGAGGCAAGCATACTGGAAAAACAACAATATTTTGCTGCTCAACACAGTGCCTTACATAAAATGGTGAAAGATACCAGCTACTAAAAGTTGAGGAATGCTAGCCAGTAGGAACACTTCTTTTAACACTTTAATTTTAGGTGAAATCCATGCTAACTCCAGTCAATGTAATGGATCCAATCAATATTAGTGGAGCAAACATGGATTCATCTCAATAATAGAAAGTGTCCTAAAAAGTAAAAGTGTCTAGGCATAGTGTACCTGGTTGAGCCTTTCCCTTAGATGAAGATCCTACAGAACCAACAATAATAGGTGACTCCAAATGATTAGTAGGGGCAGTTGAAGGTCCTACTACTGGTCTTATTATGGCAAGTTCATTGTTGCTAGAAGATCCTCCTCCTGGCTGAGAATTGACATGAGAGGTCAATGGGAGAGGGCTTGGGAGGGCTGAGGGATGATAGCATTGGCTCATAATGAAACCATCATCTTTGGAGGGAATAGAAACTGATGGCTGCAATTTAGCTGTGGAAACTGCCATTTTCTGAGTTGGAGTATACCCATTTCCGGCCATTAACATGATAGCCTTGGCCTAATGGTCATGGAAATTGAAAATCAGAAAACTAAATATGCAAATATTGAGTACAATGACTTTGCCACCACCTATTGTCTAAAGGGTACTAGTTCAGAAATCAATAAATAGAAAATTTTAACTGAAAATCACGCCATTTAATGCATTGATGACATTAAATGTTCCAATTCCCAATAAAACCTTTTCACTTTTGGTTCCTTAATAATGTACAATGGTTAGCAGAACTGATACGAAGTGTTAACAGAATTAAGACAATAACAACAACAAAAGTCTTATTGCGCCACTAGGTCAGGTTGGCTACATAGAAACCAAATCTTCAGAGTTTAGCAGAATTACGACAAATTTATATAATATACCTTCTCCGGAGTTATGTCATCATAAACACATACGGAACCAGCATAGAAAATGGTCAGCTGAGTAGCCATGCCAGGGGATTTGGAACTACTCCTGAAGGAAAAACAACAATTTTCAGGTGTGACATTGTTCAACAGGATCACACATCACACTTCAACATATCTTAAGAATGTATTTTCAGTGAAATTGAAAATTACAATTTTTAGAAGTTTCAAACTTATAGTACCTTAAGTCAGTGGATCCAACAATGGAACCTCTTAATGGAAGAACAGATAGAGGTGTGCCAGAGGGTTTGGAACCAAGAGGTTGTGGTTTTATGACTGAACATATTCTTGCTTGGTTGGAAACTGAAAATATTCTTGCTTCCTGAAGACATGCCGATTGTGCATCACAACATTGCATGGGATAAACTGCCACTCCCTGTTTGTTTCCTGCACCATGCTTGGCTATGGACATATTTCTCTACAAAATATCAAAGTAATAAATAAGGATAATTTATCTTTAGAAAACAAAATACAAAAAACAAAATGAAAAATCCTTTCACATATGCACTCACAGACCACTATGATAAGTTTGGTGATTTTACAGTAAGTACCTTTAAAATTAATTGGTTGCTAGTGTAAAAATATTTGTACAAACAGTAGTTAGAAATTAAACTCATAGATAGAATAAATAGTTTATGCACCGAGTTTGAGGACGTTCTACTACTAGGTGAAATTTCTATGAAATATGAGAAATAAGAAGTTAATTAGAAGAAGAAGCAAACCTGGGCCACACCCAATAATGGTTTCTGGTTAGACTCAAAAGCCTCTTTAGTTGGCATGTTCATAATTCCAGATGAAGCTAGTGGATCAAGAATAGTCTTTCTAGGCCTGTCTTCCTGATTGGTCTTGAAGGACAGGAACTGAGGAAGGACTGAGACCTTGTTTGGAAATGACCACTGCATGCCTGAACTCCCCACTGCAGCATATTATGACAAAAATGATATGTAACACCAGACCAAGTTCATGAGAAAGGAAACCATGCAATAGAAAATCCATCTGTGAATAAAGATGGTAACACATTTACAGAATCATAGATACCTCTAAGATAAAGAAGTTTAGCTCTTTGATTGAGATATACAATTACAAGTAAAGTAACTAATAAAAAGAATACATAAACTGTTTTCCAAATCCAAATTATATGAAAAGGAGAATGATAATAGTCTTCTAGGTGCTTTAAACTATTGAGAAAAATACTCTCATCATGCTCACTAGAACCTGAAAGTGAACCAAGCAAAGACAGATAATGTCTACAAGAAAAACTCTCAGCCTTTGGCAAACCAATATCAAACAAATGTGAATATGTCCCCACACCACACCCTATTTTTCAACCCTTTTCCCCCACAGAAAAGAAAAATGAGTCAGCAAATAATGAAAGCACAACTAATAACCTCAATGGCTCAGAACAACTTCAGTAACAACAATAGAACACTTGAAACAATTACTCTATAATAAACCTGTTTCATAGAAGCTCCAAAAGCAATTTCATCATAAGAAGCCAGAGTCCTTGTACTATTATTCGCATATTTTAATCATTTCACATGTGAGGATGTGATCATCTTAGTTTATTATAAATGTCGGCAGCATCTGAACATGCACAGTTTAGAAATTCAAATTATAAACCAAAGAAAAATATAAATATATACTACTAACTCCTTAATCAATAGAAGGTGTACCATATTAAATGTTATTATTATATCTTATCATAATATTTTATGCTATGGCTCTTTGAATATTTTATGCAAACCTTGTTGCACACAGCTAGTCACTACTACCATGGAAGATGGTTCTTTATTTCTCAAGTCCATAAAATATTATTCTAGGACCACGCATGCACATGCTAACCTCGGATATATAATATAAATGGTGGTTAATATATTTTTTTAAACAAATGTGTACACATGTTTAACTTTTTCAAATGTTTTTCATACATCAGAATCCATAATATTGATATTAAAATACACATGATTGTCTCGACCATTTAAATAATGCACATCCTAAGATGAATATGAAAGCGAGAAAAAAAGTGGCACATTTTGCAATAAAATATAGAAGAAATAGCACCAGAGACGACCAAGGCCACGTCTCTTTTGTGTACCAGAGCTATCCATTAAATGAATAATGTTTGTTTCATGTTCCTCTTACGTACTGCACATCACTTTTCTCTTTTTAAAGGAAAACAAGGTTTTGCACAGTACTATATTCTTTGTAAGACGTGAAAGAAGAAAACAAACAAGTTTTTATTTATCATAATATTCATACAGATTATTTATGAACCTCTAAACTAATCTTAAATGTCTGAAATTAAATGAAAATAATTTACTAGAAAGATAAAATAATAATACTAAAACATCCAACCAAGTGAAAAAATTAACAAAAAAATACACACTTTAAATGCTAAAAATCGATCTCATAGACGATGTCTCAGAAAAAATTATGACAAACACCAAGAATGTCCAACTATACCATCTTTATTATTAGTTTTGTTAACATTGGTTTTAAGAAGATCTGAATTTATATAATGAAACGTTATTAGAGTTTAATTATTATGCACAGTATAATTTATTTACATTGTCAACTAAGTAGAAATCATCTTAATATTATAAGAGTAAACAGTTTAAGCATAAGTTAAAACTGTTTACACTGTTCTTTTTAAATAACGCCTTTCCTTTTTAGTTGTTCAATTCCATGTTGTTTAATTAGGCACACAAGTGCTTCTCTCACCTCCACATCCTCTTAAAAAGAAAAGTGTGATTACCTTTGACAATCTCACAACACACTGACACACTGGGAAGATGAAGGCAACTGTATACAACTTGTCATTCCCCACCATTCCCATTTATCGAAATTCAACTTTAAAACATAAATACCAAATGGGTCCATTGCCCCACTTATCAAGAATATTTCTTTCATAGTAGCTCACATAGATCATAGATACTTCACCTAACTAATGTAGTTATATGCATTATAGTTAGGTTGCAACTTGGAGGTAAAATGCCTTCACTTTATAGCCTCATGTTTCAATAGGATCACTTCTTCACCCTTATTATTATAAGGGCCCTCAGAATTAAAGTTATAGTTCTAATCAATTAAGATTAAAGGATAAAAAAAAACAAGGAAAACCAAGAAAGAGACCAGACAATAATAATTTCTGTGGCACATGGGTTCTAAAGCACGCTTTTTTTTTTTCTTTGTCCCTCCATGTTTTATTCTCTTTTTTGGAAGAACACAAGCTCTTTCCTTTTTCATATTTAAAAAAATAATAATAATAAGCCACTAATAAGATATCAAGTTAAACTGAATCAAAGGGGCGTCAAAATATCCAAAAATGGAACAGAAAAATATTGCCATAATGTAATCACTCCACCCAAAAGCTCAAAATTTTCAATTTTCTTTCCTCTTGCATAACATAACAAGCCAAAAAAAAAAAAAAACAATAGTAATAAAGCTATAAATATTTTAACAAAAAATGGTGGAAAGTGTTACCTGGGTCTTTTGGTTTATTTGCAGCATCATCTCTCATAGTAGTCCATGCACCATTTTTGGAACTGAAGCCAAAAAATCCACTCTCCATATGACAAAAGAAAACCAGAGACCCTGAAGAATTTTTCTGTGGCTAGTGACCCAAAGTATGGAACTGTTAGAAAAGATTAAAAAAAAAATAACTGAAGTTTGTAAATGGTGAGAAGTTGAGCAGAGACCAGAGTAGTAGAAAATGAAACAGAAAAATGAAAGAACAAAACCAAAGAGAGATATATATATAATTCTTAAAAAAAATCTGAGCAAATATAAAAGACATGTGTACCCGGTTCGAATTCGAATCATTGGATCTGGACCGTTGCATTAAATTAGATTCGGTTTTATGCTATGTTGGTCCGTACTGATTAACCGGTCGAACCGGTAAGTCAGACACTGATGGCCACGTGTGCATATGGGTAAAAAAATCACTTATATATTTTATAGTTATTTTATAAATTGTATTAAAGATTTTCTTTACGTATATTATCATATTTTTTAAAATTTTCATATACTTTATTGATACGTTAAATATAATAAAGTGTTGACACATTTTAAAAAGTAACATATGGCTAGTTATTTCAAATAGTGTCGTTTTATTATGATTATTATAATAAAATGTGTAAAAAAAATATATAGGTAAGTTTAGAAACATATTATATATATTATTAAAAGATATTTTGTTGATGTCATTTTCATAATATTTTTAGACATCGTTGAATTGCATAATTTTTTCATAAATTATATTTTTTATATTATAAAAATTGTGAGTCAAGGGGTATATAATTTTTGTTGTATTAAAATTTATGTGTTTATATGGATGATTGCTACGTGTTTATATTTCATTAATTATTTTTTTAATATTATTTAAGTGGGATAGCTTTAAAATATAAAACAATAGAGTTAATTGTATATTTGACTACTAAAACTATACATTTTTGTGAATTTTACAATTAAATTTTAAATATTACAGAATTTTACATCTTTGCACTTTCGTTAATAAATGTCAAAATATTTAAGGTATGATTATATGGTCAATATCAGTTTATTTTAGTATAAAATAGAATATGCATTATAATTTAAATTACACAATTTATTACTAAATTTTTAATTTTATCATAAAAAAAATTATATATTTAAACTTTTCTTCAGTTAGATGTCAATTAATAGAAGGATGTGATTAATTAATAAGGTGAAAAGATTTAGGTAACATGTAGAAATATTTTATGTTATATAAATTAGAAATAATTATATAATTACTTTTTTCTTAAATATTAAACTTATCTCAAATAACTTTTACCCAATTCTATTTGACACGTGGTGCCCTATGGTCCCTTCTTTTGTGAAATAAAATATTATTTGGAAAATTAATTAAGTACTTTCCTTAATTTTCTGACTTTGACTAACTTGTTTGGATATTAATTAATCTTTTTCATTCGACAAAACTTTTTCTATCATTTCAATGACTAACGTTTCACGAGAAAAAGTTTGATGGATTCGATTTGTCTGTGAGCCGTGTATATAATATTTAATATGTAATAAGATTAAAAAACTTTGTACATTTTAACTATTATTTGTTTGGTCGAGGTTATTTTTTATCTAATAATTCAAACCTTGTTTAACCTAGTTTTTCCATGCTTCTTTTCTTGTTTCGTTAGCCTTTTTTTTTTGTCAACAGTGAAAAGACAAAAACAACTTTTTGACGTAGGTTTTGGAATTAAAAATGAACCAACATTTATGATTGAATTAAAAAAGGTTAAAAATCATAGTATTACTTTTTGTCTCATTGCATTCCTTCTCGTTTATAATATTGATACTAACATGTTTATCATAAATTAATTTCACACCACTTCTTCAATTAACATGGTTATAATATAAAATGTTAATTTTTTCTGTATTTTAATTTGTTCAAGCCACACTTTTTTTAAATGCATTCTTAATAATAAAGATTATTTAAATATAAAAAATATGATTTACTCTAAATTTTAAAAAGTATAAAATATCTCATTTAATATTTGAGTGATTATAACTACCTCGACTTATGTTCATTTGATGTTACCAATAATCTACTTAATTAACTTTTACTTCAATCATTCACTTAAATAAACCCTAATTAGGTATCTTATTTAGATTATTTATTTTTTTAAACATTATATTTTCATACAAAACATCAATTATTTATGAACATCATACATAATTCATACTTTTCGAATACAAATTAAAACAAGAAAATAAAATTGTTTCCATGAAAAAAAAACAAGAAAAAAAAAGTATTTTAATAGAATGGAATGAAATGAAATAAAATAAATTCATATGTCGTAGTCACGATAAGCTATATTTTAAATCATTATTATAAATGACAGATAGATTAGGGTTCGTTTGTGAATAATATTTAAATATATATTTTTTAAAATATATATTTAATTATATAAATAAATTTTAAGTTTTTATTATGAAATAATATTTTATTAAAAAAAAATTTAAAAATATATTTATGTATTAAAATAATTAATAATTTAAATATGATTAATTACTTTTTATAATTTAAATTATAATATTATAATATATTTATATATTGTAATAATATAAATAATATAATATTTTTAATTATAATATTTTTATTTTATTTTAATATATAAATATTTTTTTAAAATAATTAATCATCCGTTTTATCTTATTCTCGATCACTAATGTAAAACAAACCAAAATAGGTTTGTGGTATCAAATTAAATGAGTTATGAATTTAGACATGGATGATAATATTTAATTAATGAAGAAAAATATAGAAAATAACAAATAAAGTAAAGAAAGAAAGAAGCATGTGCATAAGGAAAAGTGGGGACAAATTAGAGAGAGAGAGAGAGCATTTGATTGGTGAGTCTAATTGCCACGCCATGTCAACGTGCTGGCCCCCACGTGCCAATAATATTTTTTTTTTATTTATTTATTTATTGTTTTGTCAGTAACAATCATGTCATGGATTGTACTATTATTATTTGGGCATGGCATGGGGCATGCGTGTGACTACATGAATGACGTAACTAAAAAATTAGATAAAATTAGAATATCATGAATCATGATGAGGGGCTCGAGGATTCTCGTGCATCAATTTTTCTAATTTTTTATTTTATTTTGTCTATACAATAAAATATGGAAAAATGATAATTTGACAATCTAAATCTATATAACTCCTATAAACAACTCTGTTTTAATATTATAATAATAATTTTATTTTATTTTTATTTTTATTAAATCAATCTATAGATTATTATATTAATAAAAGTGAGTTCTTTGAAGAGTTGTATAGTTTCTTGTTCTCAAAATATCAGTACTCTAAAATATAAGTAAAATATCAGCTTTTAAGTTAAAAATAACATAATTTTATGAAAATAATAATAATAATAATGCATTCTAATATATATATATATATATATATATATATATATATTTTTTTTTCATGGAAACAATCGATGTTTTACAAAAGAGACTATGCAAGTAGTGGATGATGGGAAGAATTATTTATTTTAGAGGTCATGAATTATTTTAATTTTTTTTTCGAGTTATGGACATTTTAAAGTGTGGCCCATTTGTGGAATCATTTACTGGCCCAATCATTTACGGGCCCATTCGTGTTTGTTAATAAATCACCTTTTCACATAACATTTTTTTTTTGTTTAAATGAATTTTTATCGATTTAGTTAGAGAGAAAAATGAATTAAAAAAACATAATAATATGTGTTATTATTATTATTTTAATAGATATTTTTTTTAGGAAATTTTTATTTTTATTTGTAAATTTATTTTTAATAATGTTCACTGATTAACTAAGTCAACTATTGAAGTAAGTGATTGAGCTTGTGATTGATATTACTGATCAAATTTAAGATTCAAATTAACAATCAAAATAGTCATAAAATTAATAAGCAAGTCAGAATTTATAGTCACTAACTTAGTAAAAAAATTATAAATTAAATCAATTATAATTTTAGTAATTATTTTTAATGTTTAAGTGTAATTAAAATTAATGATCAAACTTATAACTTATATTACTGACCAATTTTGTATTTGAAACTAATACTCAAATCAATAATAGATATTAATAATGAAATTTGTGATTAAAATCAATGTTCAAAATTAAGATCAAATTAGTGGTTATGAAATAATGAAACCTTAACCTTATCATGACCCGTTTAGAATCATTGAAGGGCCCAATCAAATTCATAACCAGGCTGTTGACCTAAAGAAGATGACAATTGGGCTTATAACACTTATCCAACTTATCCAATCAAATTCACACAACATGGAATGAATATTAAAATACAAATTCCTTTTTCTTCTATCTCCATAATTTCTTCATGTGTTATCATAATTTATATAAAATGATTAAAATATTTTTGTATTAAATTTTGTTTGAAATCCAAAAAAACTTATTCAATTTTGCGTTCCTTTACACCATCATATATCTTTTGTACCTTCAAAATTTTGTACATTCATTCTGTTACTTTTTCACTTCGTTAAAAAAGTTATTAAATTTTATATTTATTATACCATACCCATTCTAAAGTTTATGAAAAGTAGACGAAAAATATATATAAAAATCTAAAACGAAACGCATTTTTAAACATTAATTATGAAATGATTAATTTGCAATATATCTTCGAAATATTTATTATAAAAATATATTAATTAAATAATATATTATGGACTGAAAGTTTCAAAAATATATTTTAAATTGTATATTTCAAAAACAAGTTTCATATACCAACTAAAGAAGATGAATGTATTTTCAAAATATTCATTCCAAAAATGAATTGCAGAAAATCAAATCCAAATTTTTTATTCCATTTACGAATAAAAATAAAATTTATTTTAATTATGGAAATAGAAAAAAATTATAAAAATACAGGAATAAACTGTCAAAATACAATAGATATAATAAAATAATTTTAAGTGTAAAATATTTCATTCTAACACATGATTGCAAAACTGATTTTTGAAACACAAAAAAAAAAAAAAACACAAGCTATTATGGATGAATTATTACAACAAAACGAGAGA